CTACTATACTTCAGCTATACTCACAAGATACACTACGAGAGAGACCGATGTGTTTCCTCTTTTCTTCTCTTGTTTTTATACGATATAATATACATCACACACAAACCTCAGCAAACCCCAAAACCCAGTCGTGAAAACTACACAGCTGGAAATTCGAAGAATCCAAGAACCTGAAAAGAAAAACAAATAGACACATTACAAGGAGAACCCTTCCCTTCATGTTTGGAAACGAGATGGGTGGTGTGCTTGGACTTTGGAGTTTGGGAGTATGCACGGGAGGAGGGGGGAGAGGAAGGGAAGAGAAGATGGCGGGATTGTTTCGTTTCATTTCATTGTGGATTTTGAGTGTGGATTTTGAGAGAGAGGGAGGAGCTGAATTCGAAACAGGAAAAAGATATGGTAACATGAAGAAAAGAAGGAAGGAATTGGTATCGGATTTCTAGTTGTAGTGTTGTAGTGTGGATGGAAGGATGGAAGAATGTTCCCTTTGTATGACGATACATACGTACCTAGGTACATACATACACAATGCACATGGCGGATTAGGTGAAATTTGAAATACAAACGGATGAAGGGATGGAATGTGGAACGAAGGGAGTTGTGATGTGCGGAAGATGAAACACTGGATATGACGCCATGTCCATGAACGGGGAAGAGGAGTATGTGGTTTTGTGTGTATGTAAGTATGTGTGTAGGTATGTATCCTTGATTTGCATTCTTGTATGTGTAGGTAGGCTAGCTGGATTGAGTAGTCTTCACGAAGTTATGAATGTAATGTACCTATGTATGTATGTATGTATGTATCCGGATAATCGAAAGGTGGAAACTCGACAATGAGAGAAAGGAATATCATATCATTTCTTTTGGTCTGTTGAGGTGATTTATCGTTGAAGGTGGGATAGAGAGACGGGTAGATGAAACTCATGAAGACTCACTCACTCAGTCACTCACTTACTTACTCATGAAAGAAAGATCGAGACTGGCTCAGAGGCAAATTCGCCCGCTCTCGTTTGAATCGTATCTTTGAGGGCGTATATCGGTAGATAGATAGAACAGCTACCGAGAAAGATACTTTCCAATAAACCACATCCATCGGTAATTAAAAAGATCTCGACTAAGATCAAATCAGAGAGATATTTACGCTTTGTATGTTTCCACAGTTCACAGACACGAGAAACCCATCAATTTTCAAGTACAAGATCGAATCCTCTGCTCGGTACGCATAAGAGACCTGATGGTAATTTTATTCTCAAGCTTGTAGTTGGGAGTTGGTAGCGCTGGTGTTCTTGGCGGGTTTCTGCCTTCTCTCTAAAGGGTTTGGGGTTGTTTATGGGTATGTGTTCTAGCTCGAGGACTTTTTGGGTTAGGGCTCGCTCGCTCGGCCGGTTCCTGTCCCAAGTGTGAGTTAAGCAAGTTAAGCATGTAAGTGTGAGTAAGTGTATATCGGAGAATTGAGTTAAATTGATGGTTTCCGCATGTAAGTTTTAGGGAACTTGTCAGGTAGGGTAGAGGAGGGGAGCAGGGTAAACTATGAAATATTTGATATTTGATATTTGTTCTAGTGGGAAGATATAAAGTTTCTGACGCTTAGGTCGTAAATCTGATGATAATTTCCGCATTGCGTCGACTTCCCCTTGGGAATCTTCTATTGATGTACATGCCTCGGACCTTTCTGGATTTTTGAATCTACTTATTGATATGAAGGGTACAGACTGCAAAGTAAAAAAAAAAGTTGATTTGCTCGGATTTGCTCAGATATCATAATCTCCGAATATCATCTTATTCTTCTGCACCGTAGACATGTCCTACGGTTGGATAGGTAAAGTAAGAAAATATTTATAAGGACTTTGTATCTATTTTCAGACCCCGTACACATGTCATGTCGACTTTTGATCGGATTGCGTAGGTTCAATCACTGCGCGTTAATTATTGACATATAGTAAGACTAGTAGCTCAGATGAACGAATCAGAGCATACCCAGACACGCATTATGATATGGAGAATGGAGAAAAGGTACCTACTTCGTAGATCTAGCGGTTAGATACAGGAACGATTCCTGGGACAGAAACAAGAGCGAGATGGGGAGCATGATCCAACTAACCATAGCTGGATTGGAACGAGAGAGAGTGGATTGCGAGAGTGGATAGTAATCGATGTTGAACACAGAGCTCAGGTGTACGAAGTAGGCCCTAGGGTGTGTGTGATGATGTGATGTGTATGTACTCCATTTTTGTGATATGTGTACCACTGCACTCCGTCCGTATGTGGGGAGAGCTTCTCATTACAGAATGGTTCTTAGATGGTTCTTAGACCAAATGATCGACGCCATAATCTTTCCAGGGACCTGAGCGTTGAGTAAGGTCATAGACTTTGACTTAGCTTGTTGCACCAGGAGAATTATTAAGATGATATACAAACTACGTTGTGATGGTCAGATGTTTAATCACGATTCACGATAGATTGAAGGTTAAAGAGTAGTAGAAGGCGAATTGGAAATTATGTCTATGTTTATGGTTTGGTTGTCAATATGTTGGTGGTGTACCGAGTAAACGAAAAATATCGAAATGAAGGGGAAAAATCTCGGTTGATTAACTCATTGAGTAAGGTGGCTTCAGGATTGGCCTGGACAGAATTGAATAGAATCAATAAATCTATTTTCCGATAGAAGAATGTGCATTGTCAATCAGTCAATGCATAAAGTAGGAGATTTTCACCAATTGTTGGAATATTGGCGCGGTGATGTTGTTCATCACATTCATGTTTGGAAGTGGCGGAGCTGCATGCCATTCTTTGGGGAGGAGAGGAAAGCAAAGAAAAGGAAAGAAAAGGATGAAAGTTATGAAAGAGACGAAATGTTTTCATAGTGGTCTTTTATATCTAATATAAAATTGCAATTTTCATCTCAAACAGATTGGTTGTTTCTATTCCATCCCATCCCATCCCATCCCACCGTCAATCCCCAAGTTACCATGTTCATGAACCATTATAATTCCATGCGTAAGGAAACAAATCGACTAGGTTATTTGTCTAGCCTTGTAAGAAGTAATTGAATCACAAATTTTGATTGACATTGAAACAACTGCCGACTATTTTCCTTTCTTCTCTCTTGGATTTATGAATTGTTCAAATGAAACTTGACTGACTGTTGCTCGATGCTCAGGTGGAAAGAAGAAGCAAAAGCCTCAAAGCCTGCCTTCCCATACAAGTATAACCTGGCCCCTTGTTTTCATAGCACGATAATACACCTTCATTCATGTATTCGGATATTAAAATATGATTAAAGGCTTATTCTAAAACACGCTAGATACCAATTGTTGGATTCTATTGGTTAGTTGGAGGCTAAAAGTGACAAGTTACTGGGCTGGTATTTAGGCGAAAGTAACACGGGGTAAGGGAAAATGCTAATTAGGTGATGATTGTCTGGTGGCTTGGAGGCAAAGATAAATGGATCAGATAGAGAGAGGAGCGAAGGATAGACAGAGTGAGTCCGTAGGCAATGAGTAAGTCAAAGACAAGACGGCTGACTAGATAGAAAATACATAAAAATTATGATGGTAGATGCATATAGAAATAATTCCATAATAATATACTTTGGTATTTTATGGATTTAGTTTCATATATGAGTATTTTGTACCTCTTATTAATTGTATTTCCTTTTGCTTGCTTGCTTGTCATCTCATATTAGAGAAGTTGTATGATTGTAACCATAGTTACACAATAGAATCTCATCCTCATTCATCTCAATACATCCTTTTGGTGTATCGTGTACTTCCATCGTACTTCCATCACATCGTCCGTAAGTCTACCGTGGTTATCCGATATCATTTCGAAATGTGCTCGTGCTTCAATCTATCTACTTATTAGTTCTTACTTTGTATTCACACTTACTGTGACTTACACCATCTCTCTCTTCCTCCCGTTTTTTCTATCAATCTCACAACCCCCTGGCATACTATTTTTTTGGTTCCTGGTCTATACAACGGACGTTCCCCCTACCTAACCTTTATAATTCTAGTAAATTGACTCCCTGGCCCGCACGCCTACGTTCCACAACTTGAGAGTATCCACAGAAATATCTCATCCTCACACTGAAAGCTTCACAAGGCCCCAAGGCAAAAGGTTCTCACGAAATCGAGGCCTCTTCAATTCATCCATTCATTCACTCATTCATTCCTTCATTCCATTGAACCTCTTCCTCGCCATCCTTCTCCACCACCCACCCACCCACCTCTTCACTCCGACCTCACCTCTACACTCTCTCTATACCCAACCCTCGACACCTCATCAGGAATACAATCACCAACCATCGATTTCAAAAGCGAAGGTTAATCGAACGATAGTATCTCATCGGAGATTGTCAACATCTTTAACCGTGAGAGCCTCCGGAGGCTTATGGATAATGGTCGCTCGTAGATGATTTGGTTTCGATTCAAAGTTGTGAAAGGAGGATATACCCACCCGAACAACAATTGACGATTTATCGTCACGACACTCCTTTAAAGACTCGCGATTTATCCATATACGATTTGGTCCAATTAATTTTAAGATGTGAGTCGATATTTGTTCACCAGAAATAAAAGAGTGTTTGCGATGGCAAATGTTGGTTCGACTTGAATGATGACCGTTCTTCGGATTGAGGTCGCGATATCAATTCATTCGCAAACTATCGTCCAAACCTTGACTTTTAGATTATGTTGATCATTCATGCGATATTCATGCGATATTCAATAAGTTAACATACTAATGCCAATGATCAACAGATACACTCTTTGACATTTTGTCAAGTACACTCGTTATTACTTATTCGCCCTGACAGTTAGTTTTCAATCTTCATATTTGATGGCCGCGGCCATACTTCGTCAACCAACGCCATCGTCGTACTACTCAACTTTGAACTTCAACTAATTTATGTTTAGATCGATCTAAACCTTGGTCCAATACTTTCAAATACTAATATCTCAATAATAAGTTCGAAATAGATTGAGATAAATTTAACAATCATGCACACACCTTCGTTATTCTTGGCCTCCGTGGTCGTTCTTTCCTCTCTTGCCTCCGCAGAAGGGGATCGACCAAAATATTACTTTCCACGAGAAGTCAAAAGACAAATATATTCAAACAATACCATTACAAGCAATACACCAGCTCAAACATCGCATACGACAGATGAATCTACAATTACATCTTCATTCTCATCCATAAAAGATCCAACATCAGTTGATGGAACTCAAGATACTACGACAAATAAGAGGGCATCTTCAAGCAATTCATTCTTGGATACTTTCTCATCCATACTTGGCTTAGGAGCGACAACTACGACATCGATACCTTCGTCCTCGAGTTTAGCTACGAGCATTCCTACTGTTATTCCTTCCAGTACCGCATCTTTGAGTACGATTGTCGTTAGTGATATATCTTCAAATGATATCACAACCATTCTAGTCATGAGTACTGTGACTTTAGGAACTGGATCAGGTGAAGTTCCCGTGATTCCACCAACGACAAGTGTGACTCCAACTTCGATTTCACCCGTTGAAACAACTGCATCGCCAAGTGCTCAATCGACGGTGGAAAGTTCAGTTTTGAGTACTGATTCGAGTTCTGATGCTGGATATACTGGAGCATCAACTGGAACCAGTCAAACCATCGTTTCCGTACCTACGACCAGTGCCCCTGTACCCACGACTACCAGTTCTTCGAGCTCAATTGTCCCTGTACCAACTATTTCCAGCTCTTCGACTTCAATTATGGATGGAATTACAGGTGTTTCGACCGGAGTTGAATCCAGTCTTCCACCCGTTGAATCGACCACTTCACCCAGTTCGACTTTGATTAGCTCATCAGTACAGTCTGTGGAGACAAGTTCCAATGCTGGTTTTTCCGGAGCATCTACTGGTACATCCCAAACTGTTGTATCGGTTCCTACAATCATTAGTTCTTCTAGCTCAACCGTGGATGGAAATACTGGAGTACCAACTGTAGGATCCAGTTCAATCGTTTCTACACCATCCTCTACTTCAATTCTTGAAGGAATAACTGGAGTATCTAGCCCATCATCCACCAGTTCTTATCTTCTTGTTGGAGTTTCATCAGTTACTACAAAATCGGCTGTTGAACCAATTAGCAGTTCTAGTAGTGCTGATATTGATATTTCCCTTGGATTAACTGGAGCTTCTACTGGTTTACCCACAACCACCAGTGCCACTAGCGTCTCTAGCGTCTCAAGCACGTCCGTTTCCGAAGATTCTGGCGTTTCTGGACCATCAACAGGTACACCTCCAAAATCTAGTGAAACTAGCACTACCGAAACTTCAATCCAAAGCACAATTGCTGGAATTTCTGGAGCATCCACAGGCACTGTCCCAAGTTCTATTCAAAGTATTACTTCAGAGGCTTCAATCCCATCCTCGAGCTCAGTTGAGGGTATTACTGGAGCATCTACTGGATCTGGGTTATCAGTAACTGCGCCAGTTTCAGTTCCGACTTCAACCGAGACTCCAATTCAAAGTTTAACTGTCTCAAGTGTTTCTGGAGTACCTACCGGTACAGCCCCAACCATTATTTCCAGTGCTGCTCAATCGGAATCTTCTGAAACCTCTGTAGCCACCACTGCCAAATCTGGATCTCCCAGTGATGTTGCCGGAACTGGCTCAGCTCCAAGTACAACTGTATCCCCATCTTCAGTCGCATCAGTAGATAGTTCTTCAAGCTCCAATCTTTTGGAACCGATTGTCGCTTCAACAGGTTTAATTCCAATCAGTATTATCCTTCCTACCACAACTTCTGGATTCGATTCTCAAAGTACATTGGTAACTTCAGCTACTGCTTCTTCATCGGCTAGTGGAATTACTTTTGGACCAGGTGGAGTTCTATCCGGCTCAAGTACTATCACTGAAAGTCCTTCGGATACAAATACTTCCCCAGTATCTGTTCCAACTGATTCATCATCTGGTCTTTTAGGAGTTATTGGCACTGGATTAACTAGTTTGGTTGGTGGTGTAACATCAGATCTGGGAACTGCAGTCTCTCAAGTAACCAGTGCTATTTTACCAACAGAATCATCAGCCTCAAGTTCAAGTGCTGGAATTTCTGGACCTGCTACAGGTGTTTCTTCTGAAACTACTTTGGCTGGTGTTACTGGTCCATCTACTGCTGCCTCGGATATCTCAGGATCAAACACCGCTACTATAGATAGTTCAGTACCTACAACTGTTGCTGGAATTACTGGAATATCTACTGGTGTCTCAGCACCTTCAAACACAGTTTCTGGAATTACTGGAGCCTCAACAGGAACTGCTCCAATTTACAGTTCAGGTGATCTACTCTCATCCTTGGTTGGTGGCGTGTCTTCTTTGGTATCTTCTGCTACATCAGATATTCTTCCAACTTCTTTGATTTCCCTTACGGATTCTGTCGCTTCGGCTTTGGCCTCCTCGGCAGGTATTATTGGAGCTACTACAGGTGTACCCGCCACAGGATTGAGTGCTACAGCTACTCCTACTTCCGCTGGAATTACTGGACCTGCAACTGGTGTTTCTAGTGGATCTGCATCTACTACAGCCCCAGCTGGTTTACTATCATCTCTTCTATCTGGAGTAACTTCTAATGTTGGATCCCTCACATCTGATTTACTTACAAGTACTGCATCGGCTACCGGACCAGAAGTTACAGGTACTATGAGCAGTACTAATGCTTCAAATACTGCTTCCGCTACAGATTTGATTTCATCCCTTGTATCTGGAGTTACTTCCGATTTGAGTTCCGTCTTAGCATCTGAGACCTCGAATTCATTACCAACTACTACCGCTACTGATTTGAGTGCCTCTGCATCATCTGCAGGAATTACCGGTCCAGTTACAGGAATTAGCTCTACTGAATCCCTTGCCCCAACATCAACTGGTCTTCTTTCAGGTATTACTTCTCTTCTCGGATCAGTAACTTCGGATATTGGCTCGGCCACTTCAGTTTTATCTTCGGAGCTTTCTTCTGCTACTTCCAATGTAACCTCTGAAATTGGACCAATCACATCAAATATATCTAGTGTCCCAAGTTCAACAATTCTAAGCGGAACAGATGTGTCTGCCTCTGGTACAATAACTTCAGAAAGTCCATCACCCACAGGATTATTATCCTCCGTCATTTCTGGTGTTACTTCTATCATTGGTTCTTCCACAGATCTCTCTTCCACTGCAGCTAGTACTACTACTCCATCTTCCTCCAGTTCTACTCCATTGGGAAGTATAATATCGAGTATTTTTGGCTCTAGCACTGCCAGTGAATTATCTGCTACGATTACTAGTGATATATCAACTGCAACTGGTGCTCCAAATGCTACAGCTATTACTTCTGGAACAGATATTGTATCAAGTACTTCCATCAGCCTTGGATCTTCCTCTATAATTTCAGGAACTGTTCTCCCAACCACTGCCAGTGGAAATGAGACCTCGATTGCAGTATCTACGACTGGCCTTTCCACCAGCATTCAAACCGGAACTGTTACCACATCCAGTTCAGGAACAGGAATTATTACTTCATCGACTTCCTCCGCAAATTCTGTAACCAGTGGATCAGCAAATGTCACGGATACCTCAATTTCTGCTTCCTCCGTTTCTGCCTCAAGTCTTTCAAGTATTGCAACATCAGTTTCTGCCACAACAACTCCAAATACAACGGCAACTGATGTTTCCTCAACTGCGGCCTCATCAGCAACTGTTACATCTGGAAGTTCCGCTACTACTGCACCAATTACTTCCGTTCCATCGACGACTATTACTCCATCAACAATTGCTTCCCCCACTCAAGAAAGTACTACGTCAGTTGTTATGACTCAAACGGCTAGTGAAACAACAGCTCCTCTCACGATCTACCCAACAGCTACAAACAATGCTACATCAATGTGGCTTCCACAAACTATCATTGTTCAATCTTCATCTACCAATCAAGTTACTCATACCAATACTGCACTTGCCACCACTTTACCAAAGGTCATTACACCCAGTGGATCTATTCCAACCAGTCCAGAAAATTCTACCTTGATTCAACTTGGTTTCCTTTTCCAACTCAATTATGCATTTGTTGTTGCCAACCCGCTTTCATCAGCACAAATCTTCCAATACCTTCCAATAGGTATCGCAAATGGATTAGGTATTAAGCAAGAACAAGTTGTTATGCACAGTCTAATTCCATATAATACACAATCTCAATTGGAATACATTACAACTTTGGCACTCGCTTATATTCCAACCAACTTGGTCAGCACATTGGAACTTGATTTACATACACCTACAGCAGCTATCTATAACAATGCAGATACTTCAGTTAGCACACTTGTTAGCTATATCAATCCTTCTATTCCTTTAACACCTGGATCAACTCTTGAAGGTGGTTCTGGAACGGGTACTGATAGTTCCGGATCAGCAGCAACTACTAGTGCTTCAGGCAATAGTGGTGTCTTCAATACTGATGCTCAAAATACCTCACCAAAGGTTAAGAGTACCACAGCAGGGATCATTGTTGGAGCAGCAGGTGCAGCAGCTGCCTATGGTGCTGCCATGTTCTTCATTGCTAGAAGATATAAGAAACGTAAGCTTAGTCATCGTCGATCGAATTCTATCATGAATGCATCAGAAATGAGACAATCTGGTGCTTTCACTGGTGGTGCATTCATGTCTGGTGGACGTTTAACACCTGGTGTTGGAGGAACCGATAGAAATAGTGGAGGAAGTGGAAGAAGTGCAGGACATTCAGCACGTACACAACAAATCTCGGCACCCATGATGGCAGAGAATTCGTTGGGATGGAATTGAAAACTGTCAAACGGGTCAATTTAATTTCTTCTTCACAACATATACCCCCAAATTCAAAATTCATGAAGGTAATCTCAAGAACTTCATCTCGCTGTATCATATACATCCTCTCCAAAATCTCAGCATCTGTCTGAAGAAGAGCAATACGCTCAACATTTTTTCCTTATTTATTTTCAAGTCATTGGGCGTTGGGTATCGTCTTTATACCCCCTTCTTTGCATCATTATATAAAAAACGTTCCTAATATTTCGGGTATGGTTTTTTGATATGGAAGGTTTTATTCTATTCATGTTGAGAGGAGGAGAAAATTTAGGAGGACCGAGGAGGATTTGAATGGAGAAGAAGAAGAAGAAGTAAAGAGAGAAAGGGGGAAAGATGGAAAGATATTTGAGGTCTCGAGGAAGAAGGACTTTGTGAGGAATGAGGATGAATTTCAAAACCTTTGTGTATATTTACGATCCTACGAACGCGGATATTTCTTTAAAGAGTGAAAGATGTTGTAGCTGTCGTAAGCAAGCAAGCAAGCAAGCAAAGATATCTGGTATGTGAAATTCTGAGGTGATTTTGATTTTGATTTTGATTTTGATTTTGATGTTGATGTTGATGTTGATGTTGATGTTTTGATTGTTTGATTGTTTGTTTTATTAAATGTAATTTGGATGTGTTTAATGGTAGGATGGATATATAATAAATATAGTAGTAATAATTGTTTATGGAGAGCAAGGGGAAGAGAAGGGAAAGGAGGGATGGAAATGTGAGATAGATGGGAAGTTGGGGAACGTAATAAATAGATACCTGAGGTATGAATAAGGAATTGTTTGTTTACATTTTTATACTTTGTTGTGAATTGTGAATTGTGAACTGTAGAGAATGAATTAATGAAATGATGAGTGAGATGAGTGAAATTAGTGACATTAGTGAAATAAGTGAAATAAGTGAAATTAGTGAAATTAGTGAAATAAGTGAAATAAGTGAGGGGTGAGTTATGGGTTATGAGTGTGTGTGTACATAGACAGGTGAGTGAACAGTGAACAGTGAGACAGACTTTCCCTACCTACCGGTACCTAATATCACACCTATCTTATCATTTTTGTATTACTATCGTTACTAGGTCGTAGGTAGTAGATAGTAGGTACCTAGGTGGATTTAGCTCTAGATCTGTCACGGACTTTGTCTAGTTATCTATCTATCCGTCGTTGATTACATCGTAGATTGTTTATATGATTTATGAATAGAATTCTATCTGTATAGTATTTAGTACCGGTATCTACTTCGGATATATCGTACAATAACGAGACGGACTAATAACTTAGAGAGTCGGCCACTTCGGTATATCTATTCTAATGGATATACGAGTGTATAGATGGGTAAGTAAACAAACAGACAATGATCCACAAAGGGGTACAAAATGTATAAATGTATTTTTAGATAGATATATAGATTTGTAATATGCTCTCGGTACTCCGTTTTCATGGCTGTGTACTCGTACCTAGATATCCTGCAGCATGTAGGTACGTATGGTATGTAGATGTGATATGTATGTACGGACTCCGGAGCTCGCGGAGTGTGGGATTATGGTATGGTATGGTATGGGATTGGTTGGTTGGTTGTCAAGTCTTTGCTATCTTACGCACCTAGGGATGATACTAGGTATGTATGCTCGAGGTATGCTTGAGGTATGTATGCATGGTTAATAGCTGGAGAACGCGAAAACGTGGCTGGGAGAAATAAAAAACAGTTAAGTCGAATGGATCGTTGCCCCGTCAACTCGTCCTCCCGCCATTCCATTTCGTGGAGATGTTGATCCATTCTTTTTTACCCTCTTTACCCTCTTTTCCTCGTTTCCTCGTTTCCTCGTTCCCTCCCACGCTTGCGTGCCTTGCCTTGTCTGCCCTAGAGGAAAATTGGATGCTGCGTGTCTACGAAAGACACTCCTATCCTGTGCCCGTCCTGTACCTACATACACTTCCTCTCTCCACTTAGTCTATGATATTTGATAATTATTATACTTTTATTTTGGGAATATTGGAACTGGATTTTGGGAATTGAATTTGAATCTGAACTTGAATCTGAATCCCACGAAAACCCTTGGAAAAGCCAATTCTGAGACTCCAACGCCCAAAAGAATATCAATATTGACACCAAACATTCGCTTCTCACGCAAACCATTCCAAATCCATTCATGGAAGAGTAATAAACATTCATTCGCATTCCCCCCCCCCCCAAGAAGTTTGGAATTGGCGCATTTCCGTCGCAAAATTCACTCCCCCAAATCACAATAAGCTTTAATTTTAAATATGGATCGCTCAAATACGCCCTCGATGCCTCCAATGTATTCAGAGACATATCCAGATGAATATGATTCAATACCTGCAGGTCACAATCGACATGGCTCCGAAATCCGTTTGTTAACTTCCTACGATGATCCCGATACCCGTCCGTATGTAGTACCACTCGCTCCGCGAGCTCTTCATTTATCTCCCAGGAAACCCCCTCCAGCCGTGTCCGTGGCGACCCCAGAGCATCTCGCGTCTCCCAAGGAAGAAGAGGAAGTCATCTCATCTTGCAAGTTGCAAACAGAAGTCGAGATATCCGCGCCAGCTATGAATCCCCATGACCCCAATGATATCGCGCATCTCTTGCCGGTTCTTCCAGATGGCCCTTCTCGTCGAAGATCTCTGAGACACCCGGTTTCCTCTCCTTTGTCTACGTTGAAATCGCAATTGATAGGTAAAAAAAGCTCACTGGTGAAAAATATTAGTACTTCCTCCGATCGCAGATCTTATCAAGCGTCTGTTATGTCTACAGATTCGTACGATGATCATAGAAGAGCTCCTTCGATAAATACATACGATGATCATAGACGCCCGCCATCAATGAATACCTACGATGACCATAGGAGACCTCCATCAATTAATACCTACGATGACCATAGAAGACCTCCTACGGCAACCACATATGACGATCATCGAAGAGCACCTTCAATTATAGATAACGTCCCAGATTTACCTCCTCCCGAAAGCGCATATCGTCCATATTCACCTCTACAATATTCACCCTCTGGTCGAGCTTCTCCAACCCGAACTTGGTCTCCAATTAGAGAGGAGAGGAATTCTTCGGAATTCAACGTGCCGCCTCCAATGGGTTATCAATATGAGCCATCGGACTTGAATGGAAGTCCAAGACCTGGTACACCTTCAACAGCTTATGGGGGAAGTCCAAGAAGACCATTACCCCCGGCTCCTTTGTTTGCGGCTCATGGTGCTCGGTCACCATTTGGGGATGATGCAACGATTCATATACCACTCGAACACGATTATGATGAAGAAATGTTAGATGAGGATGTTTTTGCGCCGGAAAAGAGGGACGTGAGAGGAACTATGAGGTCGAGACAATCATATTCGACACTAGGTGATGATATGGAAAGTGCAAAGGACTACGAACATTATGGACCAGCACCTTCTGGAAAGCAAGAACGAAGAGGTGCTAATAGAACGACTCAAATGAAGAAACGAGAAGTCAAACTTATTAACGGAGAACTGATTTTGGAGTGTAAAATCCCTACTATCCTTTACAGTTTCTTACCACGAAGAGATGAGATCGAATTCACACATATGCGATATACAGCTGTTACATGCGATCCAGATGATTTTGTTGCGAAAGGTTACAAATTACGTCAAAATATGGGAGTCACGGCTAGAGAAACTGAACTTTTCATCTGTATTACTATGTACAATGAGACGGAGATTGATTTTACGAGAACGATGCATGCTGTTATGAAAAATATCTCACATTTTTGCTCTCGATCGAAATCTAGAACGTGGGGAGAAAATGGATGGCAAAAGATTGTGGTTGCTATTATATCGGATGGCAGACAAAAGATTCACCCGAGAACCCTCGATGCTCTGGCTGCTATGGGTGTTTATCAAGATGGAATCGCGAAGAATTTGGTTAATGGGAGAGAAGTCCAGGCTCATGTGTATGAGTATACGACTCAAGTTTCTTTGGATTCGGATCTTAAGTTCAAAGGTGCTGAGAAGGGAATTGTTCCTTGTCAGATGCTTTTTTGTCTCAAGGAGAAGAATGCAAAGAAATTGAATTCTCATCGTTGGTTCTTCAATGCTTTTGGAAGGGCACTCACACCGAATATTTGTATCATGTTGGATGTGGGTACCAAACCTGGAGGCAATTCACTTTATCATCTGTGGAAAGCTTTTGATACCGACTCTAATGTTGCTGGTGCTTGTGGAGAAATCAAAGCTATGAAGGGAAAAGGATGGGTGGGACTTCTGAATCCTTTGGTGGCGTCTCAGAATTTCGAATATAAGATGTCGAATATTCTTGATAAGCCTATTGAGAGTGTGTTTGGCTATATTACTGTTTTGCCGGGTGCATTGAGTGCATACAGATATCATGCTCTACAGAATGATCATACGGGCCATGGTCCTTTGAGTCAATATTTCAAGGGAGAAACGCTACATGGTCAGAATGCAGATGTCTTTACGGCAAATATGTATTTGGCTGAGGATCGTATTTTGTGTTGGGAATTGGTGGCTAAGAGAGATGAAAGATGGGTCTTGAAATATGTGAAGGGATGTACTGGAGAGACTGATGTGCCAGGTAAGTTCAATCGCTTTTGTTGCTCTGGAATTGGCTGATCATTTTTAGATACTGTTCCTGAATTTGTATCGCAAAGAAGAAGATGGCTTAATGGAGCTTTCTTTGCAGCAGTTTATTCTCTGGCCCATTTCAAACAAGTATGGCATACAGATCACACCCTTGGACGGAAAATTCTTCTTCATATTGAATTCATCTATCAATTCATTCAACTACTCTTCACTTACTTTTCTCTGGCCAATTTCTACCTCACATTCTACTTCATTGCCGGTTCGTTATCGGTTGACAATATGGATCCATTCGGTCACAGTATTGGAAAATATATATTTTATATTTTAAAATATGTTTGCGTTCTTCTTACTGCCACACAATTCATTCTATCTATGGGAAATCGACCACAAGGAGCTCGAAAATTATATTACATGTCCATGATCATCTACTCGATAATCATGGTATACACGCTCTTCTCCACCATTTATATCGTTTACCGAGAAGTCCACGATAATGCCAAAAGTCTCGTAGTTGGCAATAATCTGTTCACGAATCTTGTCGTATCGCTTTGTTCAACAATAGGCCTCTACTTCCTCATGTCTTTCCTCTATCTCGATCCTTGGCATATGTTCACCAGTTCCGGTGCTTACTTTGCTCTTCTTCCAAGTTACATCTGTACACTTCAAGTCTACGCCTTTTGCAATACTCACGATGTTACATGGGGAACTAAGGGTGACAATGTCATGTCCAATGATCTTGGAGCCGCTTCTGGAAAAGGTCAAACGGTCGAACTCGAAATGCCCTCTGAGCAACTCGATATCGATTCGGGCTATGATGAAGCTCTTCGCAATCTCCGTGACAGACTCGAAGTCCCCGTTCCTCCTATCTCGGAATCGCAACAGCAGGAAGATTACTATAAGAGTGTGCGTACGTACATGGTTCTCGTCTGGATGATTGCAAATGGAACGTTGGCAATGGCGGTTAGTGAAGCTTATGGACCGGATCACTTGGGGACGAATTATTACTTGACGTTCCTTTTGTGGGCGGTGGCGGCTTTGGCACTTTTTAGAGCGGTGGGATCGAGTGCTTTTGGAATTATTAATTGTGTGGAGGCGATTGTGGAGGGTAGGATTAGGTTGACGATGACGGTTCCTAGGTGGATGGGAGGGTGGAGTTCGAAGATTAGTGAGGGGATTAGCGAGGGGATTAGTAGTGTGGGGAATGCGGTTAAGAGGAATTAGGGGGGCGAGGGGTTATGAAGAGAGGAAATGCAGATGAAGCAAAGGAAAGCAAGGGGAAAATTAATATATAAGAAGGTGGAGATGAAGATGAAGAAGGGGATGATGCAGACGAAGGGGAAAAGAAAAGAAGAGTTTTTGATTGATACCATGGGAACACGAAGCAGAGATCATACTTATACCACGCCACGGAAGAAAGGAGATACCTCGGGATATAGGAATGGGTTGGTTGTTTGGTTGGTTAGGTTAGCATGTGGATGGGATTTTGGAGGGGGTTTTCTCCTTTTATGCTTTGAATGAATGAGGGATGGATGGATGGATGGATGTATGGGGATATGTAAATATGTAAATAGGATTTGGAGAGGTGAGATGAGGTGTTTCTTGTTTTATTAATGATGAATTTTTATTGATGTATTTGTGTTTCTATTTCTGTTTCTGGTGGTGTGATGATGGGGGTGAGATGTTATGTGAGGAGATGAGAAGAATGTGATGCGAGGAGATAGATGAGAAGATGTGGATGAGATGATCTTCGAACCCGAGAAAGAAATACTTTAAACTGTGCTTTGGAAACTCTGATTCTTTGTGGATGTCACTCGGAAGATTTGTATTGATTTCCTCGCTCGATGGAATGGAGTTTTCATAAAGTCTCGCTTCGGGGTATGGGATGTTGGAGGTGGAAAGGGGTTGAGGGAGTAGCGTCTTGGGGGAGAGGATCAAATTATTAGGAGATGCGGTGGAGTTTGTGTGGGATGTAGAGTTTTTCGATGGGAATATGATGGGGAAGTGTGGGAAGGGATGTGGAGGATAGATTGAGTGATGAATTATTTAATAGTCATGATTTGAATGCTCAATGAATGGAGGGGGGATTAAACCTTTACTAATCATATGCTTCAAGATCCGGAAACGACTCCATCGCTGATCGGAGATACGTGGACGTCTAATATTCTAGCACAACCATCCCAATCTAGAAAGACCCCCAATCTCATCTAATCCTCCATGATAAATTTCAAAAACGCCTGTGCAACCTTCACCCCATCATGGTCCTTATCCACTCTCCCCACCGCATCCCTATACGTCTCATCGTCGAATACTCCCGACGCATGTCGTGCCTCCAACAACTCCCGCACGATCTCCTCGGTGAATTCTGGATGTCCTTGCACGGTGATTAGTTTTTTGCGGATGTACATTCCCTGGGTGGCGCATTTGTCGGTGTAGGCTAGTTGTTCGACTTCGGGGGGATATTCGTAGATGATGTCTTTGTGCATTTGGAATATGTTCTGGGGGTTGTTAGTTTCTCGATTCTCAATTCTCAATTCTAATTTCATGTATGAAATCAAAGCGATGCAAAGCAAAGCAAAGCAAAGAAATAGAAACAGATAGAAAGAAACAAACAAACATACCAACATCTCCAATCCAAAAATCTCCCTCCCCCTCCCCGTCAACTCCACCGGCGTAACACTCACCTCCCACCCCCTCTCACTCCTCTGCACCCTCCCCCCCAACGCCCTCCCCACAATCTGATGTCCAAAACACACTCCCACGATCCTCACTCTCTCCTGCTCCAAAACCCCCTTTACAAACTCCACCAATTTTAGTATCCACGCATCGGAATCAAAAGATGTGTGACGACTTCCGCTAATGAGAATTGCGTCGATGGAAGAGAGAGAGGGATATTCTTGCAGGGTTACCACGTCGTATTTGGTGATCTGTAGAGAGGAGGAGGGGAGCGGAGGAGAAAGTGACGAGGCTCCCTGCTGCAGGAGAGAAGTGAATACGCCCCCGTATCCGCCGTATTTGGAATTGGTGTTTTGGAGGGGGGTGTCGCATTCGAGGATTGCGATGCGGAGGGGGGGTGGGGGCATGCTGGACAGATGTGTTGATGTAGGTGTACTGAAGTTTTAGGGATATAGATATACCGGTAGATAAATGAAAGAGTGAGGATTCCAAGATGACAACGAGAGAGATCTTGAAGATCAATGGTTTGTTTAACTGCTACGATAAGTTATGCAATAAGTTAGATAAGTTAACTTAGGTCAAAAGATTAAATTAATATTTGGTAAATGGATTGTCTGAGATATGAATCTGATATGAAGTCCGATATTGCTCCGGGATATCTTTTTCGGCATTGCATTGCATTGCATCTCTTATCGATAACGGGTAATATATTCTACCGAATATTAACCGAAGATTCGACAGTAATGGCTCTCGACTCTCGAGGTCTGCAATGGATCCTTGTTTGCATGCAGGATGCTTGAGTAGCAAGAAAGTCTGGGGTTGTATTTGAAGTGTGTGAGTATTGATTCGAAGCCTCTTGCATGATGATAATCGATTATATCGTATTAGTTAGGCTCATAGGATACATGAAGAGTATTCCATCCCCTAAAGCGCGAGAAATGGGCTCCGTCGCTTAACAGGGGCTTATCAACCAATCAAATCTAGAGAACTCTGAGAATTCTGATCAAATATCACTGATTTCAAAAGATGAATTGTAATAATATATAACTATAAGACCTATTAATCATTATTTTCAATAAAAAAAAAGATCGAGATATATTTGATAGATTTATTAATAATTTGATAAATTTTAATTTTTAAATACAATATAGAGACTTTTATTTATAATGTTATTTATAAAGTTATTGATGTTCTTGCTCTACGTACGGACCACTTTCGGAGCTCATTTAGGTCACATTCTAAGTCATCATATAAGACCTGTTCAGTCTGAAAATGTAACGTCCAATTGTATGATAAATCGAAATCTCATATGTATATGCTACATCCCACCCAAGAGACGAAGCGGGAAAATCATACTTTGCGCCCTGATAGGTTCTCCGTCACGAGAGTCCTTCACTCGTTATGGTGCGACGGGTAACTGGTGGATGGATGCAATTGCTGTTCTCACGATGCATTCCCAAAATCCTTGTTTCCTTTTTCTCTAGATGCATTGTATGTAATCTTACATATGTACTATGTATGAAAGCGGAACTGACTCACTCGGTGAATTCTTCTTTGACGCATCAAAATGGATGAGTGATTTTTGTAGCTCGATTGCGTTATATAGAGGGTCACAGGGTTATATACTTGCCATCCCCTCTAACCTCTGGAGGAAAGTGGAGGAGTTGGGGTCAGCAATTACCTTGTAGATGATTGTGAGGGTGTCGGTGATAACAAAATGATTGCTCCATTTGGCGGTGACCCCGAGTGTGCTTTGGGAGTGCGGATGTGTATATATATGTTGATGGCTACTTTGTGTTGATTGACTTTGTTTGAACTTTGTTGTGTATTTTCGGTTTCATAGTGGAGAGAATCATGGCGGAAAATCATCATCGAGTGGGTGGTCAAAATACCTCTTCCCATACCGCAACAGAAAATACACCACTTCTCTTTCCACCAAGGAACGATACACCTGCGATTGAAGAAGTTTTGGTAGACAATGATGGCGATTCAACAGGAACGAATGTCGATCCCAATGAATTCGATTTGATGTTATCGAGAACAACATCATTCACAGCCATAGGAATTGAAACCAATCCTCAAGAATCATCTATGTTTCGAAGTTCTCGCATTCATCACCACCCCAAACGCGGATCTCGAAATTCCAGTCGTGTAAGCACGAGAAGGAAATCCATTTCTGCTTCTATACGGAGTATACGAGAAACCATCGAGGACGATGACGAGGAATCCAAATCCCCTTTTCTAGGCGGTGTCGGAGTCAAGAGATTTTGGCTCATTTTCAGCGGTGTGCTGCTAACATATACATTATCTTCATTCGATTCTACAATCATGGTTTCGAGTCATCCAGTTATCACTTCGTATTTTCATGCGTCAAATAGTGCATCTTGGTTATCCACCGCATTCCTCCTCACATCCACCAGTTTCCAACCGATTTTTGGACGGCTCTCCGATGCGATGGGAAGAAAACCTCCATATATTTTCTCTATGATTTTGTTTCTAGTATCGACAATTTGGTGTGCTCTGGCTCAAAGTATGACGAGTTTTATTATCGCAAGAGCAGTTTGTGGTTTGGGTGCGGGGGGTGTCATGTCCATGGGATCGATTATCACAAGTGATCTCATACCCATCGAGATCCGCGGAGCGTATCAATCATATCTGAATATTGTTTTTGGAATTGGAGCAGCGTCGGGTGCGGCACTAGGTGGTGCGATTGCGGATCATCTTGGATGGAGATGGGAATTTGGAGTTCAGGTTCCAGGGTTGATTCTTTGCTTGATAGTTTCGTGTTTTGTTCTTCCGAGTGATTTGGGGTTGAATAGGGGAAGAAGACTTTAAAAGAGGCTTTGAGTGTTTTTGATTACAAAGGTTCGTTGTTGCTAATGGCTACTATCACTTTCTTCATACTAGCGATTGTAAGTACCTTCTCAGAAGCCTATCAAATTCCTTTTACTTATGTGTACAACTTAATCTAACACTCATCAGAATCTCGGTGGTAATATCTACCCCTGGACACACCCTCTAATCCTCACTTGTATAATCCTCACCATCATCGGTCTTCCCCTATTCGTCATAACCGAACACCACGCCCCCCAACCCGTCATGCCTCTCTCCCTCATAACTCACAATCCCCGCGGTTCCCTCATCATCGGCAACGCCCTCGGCTCCATCGTAATCAACGCTGTCCTCTTCAATATTCCCCTCTATTTCCAAGCCGTCCTCCTCGAATGCCCCACCGCATCCGGTCTTCGTCTCATCATCCCCTCCATCGCCGCCAGCGCAATCGGTACCCTGACCGGTTTCCTCATTACCTGGACTCGCAACCTCAAAACCCCCTTGGTCCTCGGTGTCTCTCTTTACGTCATCGGAACTATAGGATTAGTAGCTATGAATCGCTCCCTACAGAATTGGGTATATGTTTTACTTTTGATTCCATCGAGTATGGGCCAAGGATTCCAAATGCCGGGAAGCTTTATGTGTGTTTTGGCTGTGAGTGAACAGGGGGAACAAGCGGTTGTTACGACGACCTTAGTTTTGTGGAGGAGTATGGGACAGGTTCTGGGGGTGGCAGTCAGTTCGCTCATTGTGCAGAATTCGTTGGTGGGATTCTTGAATGCGAATGTTGTGGGGTCGGATAAGGAGAAGGTATTTTTGTTCATTCTTATTTCACGTGTTTTTTGTATCCTCTCTAGGATTTTATCATTTTTTTTTGGAAGAGAAAGCACTACAAACTAACAAACAAATAGGTAATCGAAGCAGTCCGCTCCTCCGTCCAAGCAGTAGCAGGACTCGAACCCCATTACAGAGACCAAGTCATAGATTCCTACGCCCAAGCACTACAAGCCGCGTATATTTTTGCGTTGGTGATGAGTATTTTATCTTTTGGTATAACGATCAGGATTAAACTGCCGAAACTTGGGTTTAGGAAGTGAGGAGAAAAGGGAAAGGGGACATGATGGAATTGGGAGAAGAGAAGGAGAGATGTATTGTGAGGAGGGAGATGAAAATGATGTTTTGGTATATACAGGTGGAATAAATGAATGAGTGGATAGGGATAGGGACAGGGATAAAATTGTATGTTTGGATTTACGGTATAAGTTTGGTGTCGTGTGGGTTTGATTTGGCGATTGGGAAGGAAAGGAAAGGAAAAGAAAAGGTTAGGATTTTTTTAAGGGAGTGGGTTATGAATAATGAATGAAGGAATGAATAAATCAAGATATAAATGACTATATAAATGAATAAATGAATAAGAAATAAATCAATTATGAATTAAATACATGTTATAAATTATAACAACACACTAGAGGATATTTTCATAAGTGATACAAATTAACTCTATCTCATACTCATGACTATATACCTAGCTCAGCATTAACGAGGTGGTCTCATGGTTAAGAGGTAACTAGGTATGTGTCGCTTAAGAAAGTGATAAGGGGTAAATTAACACGGTTAATTCTCGTGTTCTGATACGGAATGATGAGGTATTCGTTTCTGATAAGCAGACAAGCAATTTGGAACATTCGTTACCCAAAAGAAACCCCCAGGAGATTTGTAGATAGGTACGAAGCGAACCAGAAATCAGTACCTCCGTGCAATACGGGATGAGATATCGAGAGACGAGAAACCTTTGTCATGTTATTCGTCTATACGACTTGGATTGACGTCGTACAATTCCTGTACAAAATGGGTTGTGATGTAAAGTGATTATTGAGTGTGTGTGTGAGGGACAAGAAAGTGATAATTTGTGACAGGGAAGGGATTGTCTGATGTGTGATATTGGGCTGGAGATATTTCGCAGGGAAATCAATCATATCAATTTAATTGAGCTTCTGAGTTAAGGCTAGTATGTTTGCTTATGCGCATCAAAAGCATTCCCATCCATGAGCGAGACAACCCAACGAACTTTCCCTCAACAAGCACCACCCACAGAAACCACACCCCTAGGTTTCTCCCTCAAGATCTTATCTTCTTCAAAATCTTTCCTCACACTTTCCGCAATCTCATCATCTGTAAGGATTTTCAACCCCACAATCGCCATCGCTTTAGCTGTTACAAGAGTAATATCATGAGCTTCTTTTGTAGCAGCCGCTTCTGTGAATTGAGGAGTGTGGTTAAATGCTGTATCGGAGATTCCATACCAGCCATGAAAACCGGGACATTCGTATGTTACGTTACCTGAGATAAGAGATTTGTTAGAAGATCGGATTCGTATTTGGGAGAGATTCGATACTTACCCATATCTGTTGAGCCAGGCGCATTATCTATATGTTTGAAATCACATGTAACGGCATATTTGAGACTTTCCATCGCTTGGGCGTACTGGTAGCAGATTGGTTTGTTGGGTCGTGTATCCGCGTATGTGTTGATCCTGACAATGTCAATATATATCTTGAATTCAAAAAAGGAAATTGAAAACATACTCTTCAAACTCAACGGTACAGCCTGTGGCAATAGCAGCTCCCTCGAAACATTTGATGGCTCGGGCTTTGAGCTCATCGGCTTCTTTGAGAGTAGCACTTCTGATGTAATAAACTAATCCTGCACTAGCCGTAATAATATTTGGTCTTGTACCACCGGATTCAATCACACCCTGGTGTTGGTTAGAATACATGTGGCTCAAGAAACATCTATTGGACTTACATTGATCCTTTCATATGGTTTGATCTGTTGTCTCAATACACTTACGGCATTATAAGCAAGAACAACAGCATCAAGCGCATTGATACCCTCCCAAGGTGCCATAGCCGCATGAGAAGGCTTGCCCGTGTAATGGATCTTAAACTTGTGGTTTGCCAACGTGGTGCTATAAGCAGAGCCAACGAGGCCATGGCTCGGATCCCTAATGGATGGATGAACCATCATACAAGCATCGACATCTTTGTACGCTCCCGCATCGATGAGCTTCAATTTTCCTCCACCTCCTTCCTCGGCTGGTGTTCCCAAAAGCCTGACTCGGCCGGAAATATTACGCTCTTTGATTGCGGCCGCAAGACCAAGAAATGATGCAATTGAAGCGGTAGCTATGAGATTGTGCCCACACGCGTGCCCAATATCGGGTAGAGCATCATATTCCGCGTTGTACACTACAAGACGTCCTCCACTACCATACTCAGCTGAGAATGCTGTTGGTACACCATACGCTCCGGTTGTGACAGAGTAACCTAGCTCTTTTAACATAGACGTAATGTTGTCGTGTGCTTTTACTTCACTGTATCCAAGTTCTGGATTTTCGTGGATCTAAAATTGTGAGATGAGGTGTGATTGCAGATGGATAGAAGACTGCTACCTTTTGATTGATTGCTTTCAATTTCTCATCGTATTGACCGATAGCTTGACCGAAAAAATTTGCGTCATCCATTTTTGAGAGTAGTTTTTGTTTTGATACTTGGTGGGCTGCTTGATTGCTGAATAGATAGATGTGCGGATGGGAAACAAGGGAGAGTAAATGGTAGCTTACTAATAAACTAATGCAAAATCAATCGGTAATGAGCTTACGAGGAATGAAGGGGTATCTATAAAAAGCACAGCAATTCAGTATTGATATATGTAAACAATCGAAATGTGTACCACGATTCGTTCAATAGCATGCTTTTATTCAGAGACATCAATATCGCGGGGTGAAGTCAAAATTGGCGAGCTCCAATTCTGATTGGTTAGTCGAGACGACCAGCCGCATTTGACCCACTTGACAGGTCTGATATGATGACACCCAATCATTTCAGCCCTTTTCTCAACCTCACTTCATCAGCTCAACCAAGCCTGCAGTCACTATGACATTGGTTGTGTCTTGTAAAAGTCCTAGATCTGTGTATAAATGTTCACATAGATGGGGAAATGTTGGAAAGAAACCTCCAACAATTGTTTGAGCACTTGGATTAGACTTGGACCCCACCTAGAACATTGAACCAACTTAGAGCACAGAATCTACCATGTCACAACCTAGGAGAGGCATCAGGTCTAGATCAGGTAGGTGTTCTTGAGAGTCGAAAGTTTTAGTCTAATCGAGTATAGAATGCATGACTTGTAGACGTGCTAGAGTGAGATGTGACGAAAAACATCCGATATGTGAAAGGTGTAATCGTCTTGGATTAGATTGCTCATACCAGCCATTTGTTTCTCGAAAGGAGAAGGAGCGACGGCATCGAGAAGCGAGAGAAAGGTCGATTCCAGTTCAGATCATCCCAAATATCGTTGGATCGCTGCCACATCCAACTCATGCAGAAGTCAATGAATTTCTGAATGCTGTGGAAGATGAAGTATTTCCTGATGTGTGGAGCATGCATGAATGGCCGACCAGTATGGGGCATGGATTCATATTGCCCGAAGGTTCCTTCAATCTCGAGATATTTGACGAACTCGCCTCAGGAAACAAAGACACTTACACTACTAGCCCTTCATCGCCGTTTCAACCTTTAAGAGCTCTTCACCTTGTGGATCGAGACAATGTTGTGTTCCAGGATGACTATTATGCTCAAGGATGCGTCACACTTCATTTCCCCAATTTACGCCATTCGAGTCCATTAAAACTCTCACCATCAGAGAAACGGGCTGTTGAGCATTACGAGAAGACGTTGTCACTAAAGTTCACCACCAAAAATCCAACTTGGTCAACACAGCAGATATACATCTGTCTCGGTGCTCAAGATCCTCTAGTTATGCACTTGCTGCTTGCAATATCCTTTCGTGATTTGTGTTTCAGAGATGAAGATAATGAACTTCACGACCTTGCCCAAAAGCACTTTCGAGCTGGAATTGGTCGTTTACTGACAGCTATTTCCGAGGAAGAATCACCACATCACTTGAGTATCATGGCAGCTTTCTGGTTCCTATATATGCTTGGATCAAGTCAAATCCATGCGGGTATCGGTACAATGATGCTCTTGAGCAGAGTTGTATGCGATTATGTCCAAAAACATGTTGCGGGTCTTCTAGATCTAGATCCACTCAATGAGCGACACGCAAATCCTCCTTTACCTTTCCAGCTTCGCGACCAATCGTTACTCGCTCGAGTTACGATTTGGATGTTTTACGCCGATGTTGGATTTTGCTTTTGCTATCGTGGTGGGGATCTTGCAAGATATCTTTGCACCGACGCAAAGAATATATCGAAAATCGTCGAAATGGGTCGTGCTGTTCTGGCTCTGAACTTTGACCGAGAGTATCCACCAGATCAGGCAGCTGATGATACTCAGAATCTTGAAGTGCTAGATCTTTCATGGAAATCGGCAATAATGTGTCAGCTAGTGAATGACCTTGATCCAAAAATTCCTTCAGACGAGATAGAACAACAGTTTTGTGAACTCGAACAAACTTACAGCTCTATATTTGAACTCGCTGCAATGGATTTAGAAACTCGTCCAAGATTTCTGACTAACGCCGATTGGATACTCAGTTACTTCTACGCGATACGCATCTACCACTTTCGATATACCACCCAGAATGAAGATCGCAACGCAAGACCTAAGGTAGTCAAACGAGCTCTAAAATCACTCTTAGACATTGCTCAAAGAATCTTTGCAAAGGGCGACGAAGTACATTTTGAAAGACTTCATTGGCCTTTATTCATGGCAGGAATTGAAACCACGGATACTATACATCGGGAATGGATCTTGGAAAAATTCTCATCTGGAAAGTTCAAGACTGTCTTGAAAAAGGTGTTGAAGATTCAGCATCTTAGTGGAACGAGGGTTCATATGTCTTTGATTCGCGAGATGTGCTCTAAGGAAGGAGATGCTCCACGTGTTACTTTTCTTGGCTTTTGATATATCTAATTTTTGTGTTCTTTTGCACCTACTTTAAATGGATATTCGTTCTTCTTTGGGTGGTTCTTGAACCATTCTAGCGTGGTGTTGGGAGAGCATTGCTTTCAATTGGGTAAATTTCTCGACTTCCCGTAAGATATTGTCATTGGCGAATTGAGAAACTCAGTATCCTTCACACCTGTTACTTATTATCGGATTAGTCTCTGGTACATGATACGATGTGAAGTCATGGTTAACAGGAGAAGACAAAGTAGTTAAGTCTTATTCTGGTATAATGAACTCTCTAGTATTATAGTTCAAAGTTTATTCAGTCATCGATTCTTTCCCTGTGATAATCGTCTTGCCTCCTTCATATTGTGCATAACCCTAAGATATATGACTACTAAGTTGCTTGCTCCCCCTGTTTGAACACGTGGTTTGAAGCAGATTCTAAAATCTGTCTTTCTGATCTTCTGATTCTGCTTCTATGGAATAATTCGACTCGAAGAAAGCCTTGTGGGAATATGGCAGCCTCATTCGTCTCATAGAATGTATCGCGGCTTCATAGATTTCCTCCAATGTCATTTGATCATTTGATCCTTTCAGGCCACAAAGGAACTCCAGCAATTTGATGTAGTCGTTTTGTGCGTTCCAATGTTCCCAAAGCCATATACTGATAATTTCCAAACCAATTCGGCATCTTTCAAGATTGACCATCTCCTGTCGATCAAGATTTTGATGTGCGCAAGGCTTACACACAAAGTATTCTTTTCCATTAAACTGCTTGATTGAAATGGATAGCCTCAGAATTTTCTCGGCCTCTCTGGTACTGGCTCCGCCACGACCGATGAACTTACCAGCAACATTCTGGTTCGTGATTTGAAATAAGTGTCGATGAGAAGAAGAATTCTGCGAAACGTTCTGAGACCGGGTTGCAACCACTGCGTCTCCTGGAACTATATCGAATTTACTTCGGCTAGCCACGAGGGGAAATCCACCAGCGGCGTTATAAAGTTGCCCGAAATTCAACTGTTGTCCTGCACTGAGTTCGCGTATGAAATCTATCAAGGTGTGACAATAATATTGACGCATTGATTTCTCAAACCAAACACCAACAATGTCAAGAGCCAATTGTCCCTGTACATATCCTCCTTCGCTCCAACCTTTTAGTCCACATACAATGTAGTCCTTGGATTGTGTACAAACAACGTCCAAAGGAACTCCAAGGGCAATGAGCGATTTCTTCCTATTGTGCAAGAAGGCTTTCTTGATAATGAGACTGCCATGACCTGTAATATCAATGCCAACTAGTGGTGGATGATAAAGTCCAATTGGATGTCCCAAGTTGTTTGGTGCAAGTGCTATCGGCTCAGTAACTTCCTCCGATTGGATTGAATGTCCTAATGGGTCTGACTGTTCTGACGAATCTGATGCCATCGACATTGATGCTGAACGATCGACTTCTGGTTGTTCTACAGCTAGGTGTTCAAATCCATTTGATGAAACCGCTAACGGTTTAACAACTTCCCCAAACTCATTTGAACGTTCCGACGGGTCGTATGCAGTTGATGTTGACGCTGAGCTATCCGTGTCTGATTGCTCTCCAGTTAAATATTCCAATCTATTTGATGAATTGGAAATTAGCTGATCAATATTTGGTCCTGCTTCGACCGAACGTCCCGCAATATTCGACGAACACGACGTTGCATCTCCGATTATATGTTTTTCTAGTCTGCTTGATGAGTTGTTGGCTTCAGATGAGGATTTTTCTCTTGAATGTCCTGCTCTGTTTGATGAGATTGATACCACTTGATCAAGGTTCAGTTCTTTCTGGTTGCTCGGGCTTTCTTTGCGCACAGATGAAGAAGTCCTTTTTGATTGTCTTTTTTTCGAATCAATTGCAGATGACTGACGAAGAGCTAGAATCTGACTGCGACATGACGCGAATTCTTTGGCAGCCTTCAATGTTTCCATCACGAAGGAAAAGAAACCTTCAGTATCATCCGGCACAGAGCATACAGTGTCGCTAAAATCCTTTCCACGGGGGTTTTTATCTGCTGAATCGCGAGGCATTCGTATCTCGCCTTCACGGTAAAATTTACGACCACAATCCTTACCAGCTGCATGCATCAGCCTTTTAAGCGCCTATTAAAGAATGATTGTGACATACCAGAGATATTCCATATAATTGCTATCATGAGTTTGAACCTTCGAGCCTCTGACAATTGGCTGTAATGGTTTGGGTTTGAATCGCCATCAGGCGGTGGCTTGTTGGCGCGATCAATAGCCATCTGAAATAGTCTGTCTCGACCTCGATCCGACACTTTCCTGACCCGTAGTGATTCGACTATTTGATTTATTAATCCTTCCCAATAATCATGATCAATATAAGATAAGGAGTCGTCTTCGATTTTCCATCTTATAAGGAAATAATGAGCAAACTCGCTGGAATCTACCATTCTGATAATCGATACACCAAAGAGATAAGTTTGAGAAAGAGAAGCAAAATAAGATGAAGAAGAATGTGAGTAGAGAGAGATAATAATAAAAGAAAAAAATATCTGTAATCCCCCCCTTAGGAAGGAGGGACAGCGAAAACGTTAAAGAAGGAAGGAAGCAACAGGCACCTCAAAACTGTAGCGCAAAAGCAGACAGGCAAACTTCGGAACATTGAACTTCTTGATCATATTTACATAGAAAAAACTTCTTAACCGACCACCTGATGAAACTGTAGACACTATAGATGACCAGAGCTAATTTACGACAAAAATCAGTCTCTTGAGGGAGAATTTTTTGGGGGACGATAAATATTTAGTGGTACCAAATACCCTTAGATATTGGAATAGATGCTCATAGGCCTTTGATGGGCCCAGCGTAATCACTTGGAATTGAAATATTGATGGCAGTGCCTAGGAGTAGCTACTTGAACAATGCCAAGGCCTGTAGGATTACTCTCCTTATTCTAATGGCTTTTGCATACGGCGACTACTCGACCGAGGTTTTTTATAACTTTCCTGTATTCCGATTTATCACATCTAGTCCATGTCCTAACATCAATCCTTCACCTTAGAAATTGCTAGATAGAGATAAAGGTTTCTCTTTGTGCCAAGCTAGCTCTGACAACTTGCTCGCACTTCATACAAAATCACATCGCCTTGCAAGGTTTTGTTTATTCAAAACAGTACTTTTTGTATTTCGTTCCCATATACTCCTTCTTAAGTCTATTATTTATCATCTAAAATGTAATATCATCGCATCATATCATGGATATCATAACAAAAGTGAAATAAGTACGCGCTATCCCGTCATCCACCCAATATCGTACAAACAGATGAGCGCCAAGCGTCCAACATTCATGAACTGCGATTAACAGCCACAAATCCGAAGAGAAACACTCAGTTCCCAGCAAAAGGGTATCTATCCGTTCTATCAACCTCCTCCTCCAGCTTCTCTCTTTGCTCAATTACAGTATCTTCTCCACTCGTCCTTCCACTCACTCCACCGTGGATATGATTATGCAGACGTCCAGCATCCACAGCCATGTTTTCGTTTCTACTTTCTCTTCTGATATTTTTCTCATCTCCAATGTGTGCGCCAGTAGCAACACCTTCTTCTGCGTGCTTTCCACCGTTTCGTAACTCTTTTGCATTCTTTCTAAATCTTCTTTCTGTCCAAACGGGATTTTCTCCTTTTTCATATGCTTCTTCGAAAATCTCATCGAGCTTTTCAAGTGGGTATCCTTTGGTCTCCACAAAGGTATACCAAATAACTGGTACGAAGGCAAGGTTGACACACATAAATACGAAATATGTTTTCCAGCTGATGCTGTAAATCATGATTGGAGCTAACTGAACCACAATGTAATTGCCAATCCAGTTGAAAGACGTCGAGAGACCGTTAGCTTCTGCTCTGATTCGAAGCGACGTCACCTCTGCTGGATAGAGCCAGGTTAACCCCAACCACCCTACTGCGAAGAAGGCAATAAAGATGAAGATAAAGGCAGTGGCAACGTAACCGGGAGCCTTATAGTCTTCTGTTGTTTGTGAAAGACAGATTCCGATGACCATAGATGAAAGTCCCATTCCTAGAGCACCCGTGATCATCATCTTGCGGCGGCCAAAATGGTCCACAATGAACAAAGCGAAAATGGCGGCGGCAAGATAAAGAGTTCCATAGCAGGCGGTTAAGAGACGGGCAAGAGCAGGAGAGAAGCCCAGAGAATCCTCGAAGACAGTTCTGTGGTACATCATTAGCGCATGTACACATGAATGAATGTGAACATAATGACTTACGTTGCGTAATATGTAACAAGATTAGTGCCTCCAATCTGTTGGAAAAGTTGTGAAGTATATGCAATGGTAACTCTATATCTGTTCATCTCAGGACCACTTCCATAAAATTCCTTAAGTGTGAGTTTCTGTCCCTTGGTGATCGCAGTAACTCTCTTAAGTTCCCTTACTTCTTCCGTAATTCGTGGATCATCTTTCTCGCATCTCTGTAGGCGACAAAGAATCTCGATTGCGTGCTCGTCCTTGTCTTTCTTAAGTAACCATTTAGGCGATTCTGGTAGTGCGAGGATACCAATGAGGAGAATGACTCCAAAAAATGCTTGGAAAGCAATCGGAAAGCGCCATTGAAATGAACCATATTGGGTGACGAAAAAGAATCCATAATTAAGCCAATACGATAGCATAACTATGTTTGATCAGCCGAAGTTTATGGGGAAAGGGGATGAATAACACTTACTGCCTCCAGCAATCAGAGCACCCTCGAACAAAACCAAGAATCCCCGAATCTTAGGTGGTGCCATTTCACTTTGCCAAACTGGAATGGATGAAGTGTTCATTCCATTCCCAACACCGGTAACAATCCTTCCTACAATCAATTGAGCCATCCCAAAACTCGAAGCTTGAATCGCAGTACCAATCAACATTATAACAGTCCCCAATAACACAGCTCTCCTTCTTCCGAGTTTGTCGCCAAAGCCGATGATAAAGAATGACCCGAGTAAACAACCAATTTCGTAAATTGCAACAACCAAGGCTTGAATTGCTCCAGATTTGTTGTGCGGTTCCATCTGAGGAAAGTACGCGAGGAAGTTTTCCTCCGTAATGATTCCGGACATGATACCCTCTGGATATACTGGTTAGTTTTGCTTTTTGGTCTGAGTTAGGACATTACGTACGATCATATCCGAAAAGTAAGAAACCACTTGCAGCGGTTGCGCAGACAAGACTCTCAAGAGCCTTCCCTTGCACCGTCTTCCCAAGGAAACCCGTATGACTTAGTAGACCCATAGTTGTAAATACGCTTTCTGGAGAGGGATTTCAAGTTGTTCTGGATTAGAAGAATCATATGAGGTGGGAGATGGGGGACTATATGGGGTCTGGGGAGCATTTTTCCTCGTACAGTCGGTATGGAGAGGTCCACAAAAGATAGAAAAAAACATTGATAGTCATGATGAAATTTCTCCTAGGTGGACCCTATGTTGTCCAAGTAATATGGGTAGATCCAAATATGCACAAATGGAAGTGGTTATCAAAACTGGAAGTATGATATCAGACCTCGAAAAGTTGTAAGCTGTGGAGGTGCCGCATTTTTTGAACCCCATGTTGGTCCCTGGTGGAGGATGGCGTACGTATCGTCCCCAGGTAGTTTCGGCGGCATCGCGGTCCCTCCCCCTCTAGAAGGTCAGAATGCCGATCCGTATTAGTGTCTGATCTACCGTGATCATGTGACCTTATAACGAGATCAAGAGTCATGTTAGTGGCCAATGGAAAATTCGAGACCAGTAAGCATTCTCTAACGCGGGACAAATAACACTTTTTCAATTTTCCAAAAACCATCAAATTCCGGTGCTTGACATCTGAGTATTTCTTCGCGAACCTTGCGAGCCTTGTAGATGAGTATTGAAGCCTCAGATCCACCCCTGATTCGAATTTTCGGCTAGAGACCGTCCAAGACAATTAAGCTTATCGAAGGCCCACAACAATTTATCAAGAATTTCGTTCATTCAAACATTCTGATATCATCTTGCAGATGTTCCCGGATCAAGCAATATTGCCAAGCAAGATCCACACAGCGGAAGAGAAGATGTGATGCTAGCGAACGTTGCTCAAGGAATGAGAGTACTTTGATTCGTGAGAGCCACAAAAATGACCAATCTGGTTTCCGCAGAACAGATACTTAAATCGAGAATCTGCTTTACCATCTGGTTTTATTGCCTGCATAATTCCAGGGTATTGTGAAGCGAATAACGACAGCCGCGTTACCACTACCGCTGTGAGCTTGCGAACGATAGTGATACGGCCTTTCATGAATTGGTAGATATGTCGTAGAGGACCCATTCGACATCATTTTCTCCATATAAGGATGTAAGTTCTCCAGTTTTTCTGCTGCAACCAAACTGTTTCGTATATGCGACGTTGAGAATCACATGGGCCAACTCACAGTATAGAAGCTACGGATAGATCACGATTTACGACTCGGTTGGTAGATCTGGCCGCAAACCGAGGTAATCATCCAACACATTATTGAACCAAGCACCTGGGAAATTCTGTATACACATGCTCCGTCTTGGAAAAAACGACGGTAATCACCACAAGAATCAGACTGGAACAATCGATGGTCCTCATCCAATAGATCAAACCTAAGCAAAATAATTAGTCGTAAGAAAATCGGGTTTCAAATAAGGGTACCACAATATCAAACAGATGTGCCTCGATGTAAAAAGTAGACAAAACCAAAGTTGTTAAGCTTCACGTAAAGATGCTGTATTGGGCCTGGTATCCGAAAGTACTATAATGAAGACTCCGTCGCAATGCTATGTGACACCAAATTATCCATCACCTCACTTCGCCTTACGTTGCTTTCGAGATTTTCCTTTGGAGTTCTCCGTCACTTTTCCTGCAGTTTCGGGGCTGTCAGACGGCTTCTCACTTGATCCATTTGCCTTTTCCGCCGCCTCCTTTTCCTTCTTCTCCAAAGCTCTTTTGACAGCTTCCTCTCTCTCAACTCTCTCGATCAACTTCTCACTCCCCTCCCACAACTTCTTTGCAATCTTCTCGTCCTTAACATCAGATGTAGTGAAATCTATTTCACTGCACTCTTTAATGAGCTTTCCACCAGGTCCTCTTCCCAATGCTGCTTCCATAGCGGCATACGAGATACTTTGTGCACCCCCTTGAGAGCTCTTCAATAGAAGCCAGACATTTTGCCATAACATAACATATAATGCCAATCCCCACAATGTACCCCGCGAGAACCATCTTCTGAATCCTGGTGTACGACAATATCCCGGATCCACAAATATCACCCGCGCGTTCATGATCGCTTCATCGGGTCGTTTGTATGACTCGAGGTGCTTCTGGAAAGCTTGTCCAAATATCATTAGTGCCATTTTACTTCTGGCATATGCCACAGAGGGACTCCAATCCTTCTTCTTCATCGCATCACTGCCATCTCCAACAGTGGGACTCTTGTTATAAGAGGAACAAGTGGTAAATATAATTCGCACATCTCTATCTGGTGGTTGAGCGCGAATCGCAGGGCTGAGAATACTCAAAAGGTGGAAATTTGCTAAGTAATTAACCATCCAGGTTTCTTCAATACCCTCTGCTGTTGTAACACGAGGCCTGCCAGGAGGTGTGAGTGTGGCAGCACACAGTACAATCATATCCAGTCGTCGGGGAGGTGCGTTGTTAATCCATTTCGTAGCAAACTTTCGAACGCTGTACAATGATGATAGGTCGACTTGTTCGGCGTAAATTAATTCGTTTCCGGTTCTTTCTCGCAGGTCTTCGATGTAGTCGACAAGGAACATATCTGTTGGAGATTGACGTGTGAGAAGAACTATCTGCGCTCCTCGTGATGCTAGTTCCAAAACTGCTGCAGCTCCTATCCCAGACGTCCCTCCTGTTACTAGAACCACTTTCCCATGCATCTTCCTCTCCGAAGAGTTCTTCACTCCAGCAGAGAAGAGCTTCACTAACACAATGACAAGAACAGCTGGCACTACCTTGGCCATAGTCCAAAGACTAGGGAGCCAGGTAACCTCCCCCCATATTACATTTGCAACGAAATCGACAGGCATAGCTGCGGATAGAATTCAAGCTATTTTTGAGGCTATTCTAAGTTACTCAATATGGCATTGTGATCATTTAAGATAGAACCGACGAAAACCGAAAAAAAAAAATACAATTGAATCATGAACGGGTGGGTAAATGAATGAATGAATTGGTAAGGAGACACTTGCAAAATTCCATATTTGTTCATTTTGGCGCTGACGACGCTTTGTGGCGCTTGTGGCGTAAGCTATGTTAGCGTCGTTACGGCCAGTCAGCCCTACATTTGAAGATTCCAGGACATCATAACTGTGCCGCAACATGAACAACGTTTTGCTACTACTAATCCAAAATAAATCTGCTATTCTCGGGTAGACAATATGTCAGACGAAGATACTTATGAAATTCCATTGCAAGACCAGAGAGCTTTCGGAGCTGGTATCAAGAGGAAACCCGTCAAGTTCGTTCCATCAACTTTGGCATCCACAATACAATCTACGCCATCTACAAGCTCTGCAAAGAGTATCAGCGATTCATATCTCAAACTGGTTCTTCCTCAAGATTCCTCGATACCTGAGAGCACTTCAAGGGAGAGCTCTATACCTCTAATGGATTCGGAAGTATGTGAAGTCTGTAAGCTACCTCTATCCACAGATCTCGAGTCGATTATCAACAAGGATGAGGCTGGTTCACCAGGCCTATCAAATCCCACATCTTCTACCAAATCACGACCTCACGAAGCTTCTTTAGCACATCAAGTATGTCTAAACCATTCACACCCCCCTTCACATGTCGATCGAAATAGAAAAGGCCTCACATATCTCTCATCATATGGCTGGGATCCTGATTCTCGTCTTGGACTTGGTGCATCTGGTCAAGGTATCCAGTTCCCAATCAAAACCAAACCAAAAGATGATAAACTGGGTATTGGTGTAGTGATGCCAAAGAAGGGGGAAATCAGGAAGAAAGAGAAGCCACAGAAGCTTGATGCTGGAAAGGTCAGGAAATTGCACGAGAAGGATAGGAGAAAAGGGGAGAAGCTGAGGGAGATGTTTTATAGAAATGACGATGTGGAACGATACCTGGGAGGTAGATAACTGACCTGTGGCTCGAGTATAAGTAAAGCTTTGCTCACTTTTGGCTCCGCCAATTGGAATGATACACAGTAATAACGTAAATCATGTCCATTTGATGCGCCTCCTAAACCACGGAGGCGGGAATGAGGAGCTCCTCTAGATTACAGAGTAGAGAAAGCATCAAAGACTAAAGTTTTCTCTGTGTCAGACTCCCCGAGTTATTCGCATGTTAGGTTTGTGATTTTTCATTCTCAAAATTCTTATTATCAAAAAGTATTCGTTTGTTTTGAATGAATAATAACTTTATGAGATCTTCCCTTGATGACCGGAGTAGTCAACGCGAGTACACTCGTGTCTGAAGAATCTACAGTCTGGTCGCATCAAGTGGTCAATAATGCATCAAGGTATGTTATTTAATGCTTTCCTTGGAGATAATGCGAGCCCCTACATGTCCGCGTCTATAGAAATATCCAATGGAAGGACCCTGTCGACAATCGGGAGCCCACAGATTGGGGATCTTGCAGGATCCTCAACGACCAATTGTTTGTCGAGGCAGATTCCATCTCAGCCTCGCCGTGCATCAAATGAGGAATCACCATACCTTGGAGTCGCGTTTGTTGGTTTAAATTCTATAAAGCACATTGGTCCCCTTTCTTTTAATAAATATTTATTCCAAACTGCATTTCGCTCATCTGTCACTCTGTAATTTTGTGACTTCGTTCCGTCCAACTTGTCTTTCTCCCACACTGTTAATTGCCTACTCACCGTCCACCTTTGTTTCGTTCAACAAGCAATCTTCCATGAGAATTAAATAATCTTCATATCTCAACAAAATCAGGATGGATATTCCTGCGGAATTTGACCTCCCGCAGGTTCAAACTATATTAAATGCATTGAAGAACATCTGTCGTGATTACCCCGCTGGAGGTTCTGTTCTCAGAGAGCTCTTGCAAAATGCTGATGATGCCCAGGCATCGGAAGTGGTATGTAAATTTACCTTTCTCATTTACTACTTTTATGTTTTCCCCTTCTAACCCGACTTGCAGAAATTCTTTCTCGATGAAAATAGCTATGGGATGGACAATCTGCATCCTAAGCTCGCTCAATACCAGGGTCCAGCTCTATTAGCTTACAACAATGCTGAGTTCAAGAAAGAGCATTTTCAAAGCTTATCGCAGGTAGGAAATTCGCTCAAGATGGAGGACGGTTCGACTACAGGAAAGTTTGGTCGAGGTTTCAATTCTGTACGTATGACATCGGATCTAGGATTTCTTTCAACTAACGGCAAGCAGGTTTACAACTGGGCAGATTCTCCGTCTATCGTATCAGGTCATCGCGTACAAATACTGGACCCTCATCATTCTTGGTCAAGCGGCGGGAACGGCTATAACTTCGTAGAACACTCTGAAAACCCCAGTCTGAAAGCCCACATGACTGTTTATCAATCACTTATGAAGGACGCGAAGCAACCTTTTTCTGGCACCATCATCCGACTTCCTCTACGCACAGTTGAACAAGCAAAAGAAAGTAGGATCTCTGATCGGAATGTCACGGCTCATGAGATGGCGTATGTGCTAGAGAAGTTTACTGAAGACTTCGGAACAGAAGGTCTCTTATTCATGAAACATGTCGTTAAGATCAGCGTGATTTCGGAAATCACGGGTCTCATTGAGATCGAGGTGATGAATAAGAAAGCTGTTCAGCTGTAAGTCTTCTCTAACTTTCACGTGTTCCTCTATTGATGATTCATTGCGTAGAAACAAGACTAGAGTCAACGATGCAATCGTCAGCTTCTTGAAGAATCCTTCTCAAGACTTCGATTGTACTTTCGAAATGAAATTGAGGTACCAGAACCCTAAGAAAATAACCAAAACGCGCTTCATAGTCCATCATAGTATACAAGGAAACTCAATGACAGAAGAGATCCTTAATTGGAGCATAGCCCAACAATCCTTGCCCTGGGTCGCAGTGGCCGTTCCCTTGCACGTAAGTTAACCCTCCCGAAAAGTAGAAATTCAGGCACCACCATCAAAATATCATACTCAGCATTACTGACAAGTCTGCAGGTCGAAAATAGTCCCGCTATACGCGGGTCTTTATTCTTGGTGATGCCATTGCACATTCCCATCAACCAGCCGGCTCTTATTCATGGCTTGTTCAGCATCTCACCAGATCGAGCCCGATTGTATAAATCTCAGGATCATAGCTCGCAGGATCAGTTACCTGCACAATGGAATCAGTACCTATTCAATAGCTCAATTTCACATGCTTGGACTAGGTTGCTTAGCTACCTTGCTTTATCTTTCCCACCGGATCCATCATTCAAGTATTGGCCTTATAAATCCGAGGATCCCGACAATTTGTCTAAGGATGTGCTTGCTAAAGTGCTCACGTTGATTAAGAATCAACGTCTGCCTGTTTGGCATACTGTGAATGGTTATATCAGTGCCGGTGCCGGACTTTTGGCGACGGGAAAAGAGTCGGAATCACTAAAGCTGACATTGGCAGACGCGCGAATTCCAATTGTCTACATCCCAGATAGGCTGAGAGAGGAAGTCAAGAATCTCTTCTTGGATCTTAAGCTTGGACCTCAGACTCTGTGCAACTATCTGCGCGGCAAGAATAACTTGGTCATTTCCTGGCCACAAGCAACAAGACAACAGATCCTAGAATATATCCTCCCTGTTCTAGGCTCATCAGACCATGGGAAAGGCTTAGCATTGTTTCCATTCGAAGATGGCTTATGCCGTTCAATCGATGACCATCTTGCTTTTGTACACCGCGATGAGTTTGAAGCAGAGTTTTTCCAACACGATCCTAAGCACAATTTGGACCTAAAGCAATTTCTCAGTCAAGCTTGAACACTTTACAAGATCGTCTAAGAGCCTCACAGTTTCACCCTCACATCCGCCATCGTTCTGCCAGCGATCTCAGGAAGTACGCCATGGCATACTTTTTCGATAAGCTTGACGTTGATGCCGACATGGTTGCTTTGGATTCCGGTCAAACATCCTTTGTCAATAAGTCTTGGACTTGGATACATAGATGTTCAGATATTTTGAATGACAGTATTGCTACTCTATGGTTGTTCCCTCTTGCAAATGGCAAAATACAGAAAAGTCAAGCCTCGCAGTTGCTGGGCAATCATACCACCGCCTGGATCACTCGGCGATACTGTTCAAATGCTTGCAGAAGATGATAGAGCTCAAAGCGCGCCGGTGATTCTCACGGGCTTAGACAGAAGTCTTTTAGCAACATTGAAAACTGTTAAGGCAGGCGCAACCCTGCAAGTTCGCAACGGTGAGAAGTTTCATTTCTTATTGCAATGGCTCGCTCAGTCCCATCTTGCAGTTGGAAAAGCATCCGATGAAAATAAATTTATCATCATTGAACATATCGCAAAAGCTATTGGAGGGCAACTTGATCCGAAATACACAAATGATAACCTGCTCAATCTGAAGAAACTTCCAATTTTTCGAGGATTGACGTGCGGAAGTGATGGTGATCTTTGGTATGTATTTTCTCATCGTCATGAGAGCTTGAAAATAACTAACACTACTCAAAGTTACCCATGGGTACGTATAGAGACCTTCAAGTCTGCAATTGGGGTCATCGACGGAATCATTCCTCTTCCTACCTTTAAGGATTACCGATTCTTAGATGCGCAGGACATAGCCATCCAAAAAATCCTTCTTTATCAGAAACTATGTGTGCGTAGAAAGATCGAGGTCTTGCAAGATCATATTATTCCAGCTTGGAAGGGACTTCAAAAGTGCACTTGGTCACCATCGTCCGAGGCGCAAACTGCAGAATTGATGCTCCAGTGTTACTATGATCTGTCTCCACAAGCACAAGCAGCTATGATTAGCTTACCAATAGTACCGACTCAGTCTATTAGTGGGAATCTAACCGGCAAATTCGCGACCGCTTCTGTTCTGATAGATCCCGAAAATAGCTGGCTGAAGAGCGTGTTCTTCAGTGACGAGGAAGTGCTACCTACTGATGATCAATATGCGCGATATGGTTCAATTTTCAAGAAATTCGGATTGAGAGCTAAAGTTGACGAGTTGTTTGTCTATGAGCGAGTCGGAAAATTTTTGAACAGTACTCTTCCTAAAGAAGAAGTTCACAGTCGTGCTGAAAACTTGTTGAAGACTTCTTGCTCCTGGTCTTCGTCAGAAGCAACGGCGACAAAATACCAGCAATTCCTGAAACGCAAGTGGCTACCAGCTATTTTACCCGATGGAAGTATTGAAATGGTAAGCCCGAGCGAATGCCGCGATGTTCAGGACCGTTTGCGTGCAGGATACAGGCTTCCTATCTTCCCTTTCACTGTATCTTACCGTTGGGCCGAGTTCCTTGGATGGAACAAAATCTTACCTGACGATATCTTACTTGCCCAGCTTGATCACGGTGTCATCAAAGATGACGGGGCTGTTGTCAATGCTGTCCTTATTTATCTGAGAGATAATTTCCGAACTGATACAGTTTCGGAATCATTGAAACGTCGTCGATGCGTTCTCACAGACAACGGTGTATTCGTTACTGCTTCCAAAGCATTCTTTTCTGGTTGCACTCTGCTCAGTCCTTTCCTGGGAAATGTCGATATTGGATTCGCAAAAATGCACGAAGATGTCTTGAAAGCTATGAGTGTCAGATCGAGGCCAGGAGTACAAGACGTTCTCGATGTTCAAGCTCAAATTGAGCGGTCTGGTCATCCTTATAAAGAATCCGACACCGAAATTCTCTTAGAAACGATCAAAATGGCCAGCAAATACTCTAGAAAATCTCTGGGGGGCTTGAAAATACTGGATCAAGATAGTATCCTGTATCCGGTTGAGGATATAGCTTACAATGATATGCCGCTGCAGTCTGACAGGATTGTCGATAAAGTCAGATTTACCAATTCGAGAATCTCTGAACAAACAGTAAATAACTTGTTTATAGAGAAACTAAGTGAGAGATTGAGGAAAGGAGAACTGCAACTCGCTGACGATGATGATGATGACGAGGACTTTCAGCAGTGCGAGGCTATAACGACCAGCATATCCACTACCCTTGACCGCTACCCTATCGAAAGTACTTTCAAGGAGTACCTAGCAAACGCGGATGATTCCAAAGCATTAGCAGTCCACTGGATGTTGGATCCTAGGCACCATCCAACTGAAAATCTTCTTACTCCAGAGATGAAAGGTCTTCAAGGGCCAGCTCTACTGGTTCATAATGATGCAGTATTTCAGGATAGCGACTTCAAAGGTTTCAAGAACGTTGGCGTTGGCAGCAAACGAGAAGACAGATCAACCATTGGCATGTTTGGCCGAGGCAGCCAGACCATGTACCATTTTACGGACAATCCAGTCTTGCTTTCTGGAGATTACTTGTTGATCCTGGATCCGTTGCAGGCATGCCTCCCTTTGAACAGAAATTGGCAGGCACGAAAGCCAAGAGTGAAGATTTTGCTATCTAAGCTCAAGCAAGTTCACCCAAATCAACTGGCTCCGTTCCAGGACTTATGGGGCTACGATAGTGATTCTAATCATTATGATGGCACAATTTTTCGTTTCCCTTTGAGAAAACATGTTTCACCTCTAAGGGCAAAGCAAGAGCCCCCATCCGTTGATTCAGTCCGATTGCTCTTGAATAAATATTTTCAAGAAGCTCGAATTTCCCTGCTTTTCTTGAAAGGAGTTCGAGTGGTTAGTTTCAAGGGACCTGAGGCGAAGGAACTATTTTGGTCGGTGAAGATGAAGAAAAGAAAATCCACATCTGACTACACAATTTGTTCTGCAAAGCAGATGCTTGGCTCGGACATTATCGCAACTGAAGATAAGTGGTGGGTCTATTCAATGATTGAGGAGACACCTAGCGGTGAACACCAATCTAGACTTAGAAAGAATGTAGAGTACGGCATCGCAGCATTGGTACGATCAGAAAATCAACAGGACACAAAAACTCTTGATCTACCGACGCCGAAGTTGTTTAGCACTCTCCCTCTACCCGAGGCATCAAATTTACCAGTGCACATACACGCTACATTCTCTCTCTCCGGAGATAGGAATACTCTCATTGCCGGAGGCGAATCATCTGAGGCCGAGGGTTCAAAATGGAACTCGTGGTTATTGGAAGAAAAATTGGCATACGCTTACTTCACGTTTCTAGAAGGTTTGGCCCGGAAGATTGGCCCAGATGCGTTCCAATTTTGGCCAAGAAGATATCCAACAAACGGAGGTCTCTTAGAACTATTATGTAAATCTTTCTGGTAGAAGCTTCCTCACAGTGCAGCAAGGCTGTTTCCTCGACGTAACACAGGCTCTAATGCAACTAACATGAACATGTCTGAGACAGTCTTCGATCTCCTGCAGCCACAGTTTTCTAAGCAAATTGCTCCAGTATTAGAACAGCTGGTGCCGAATTTATCACCAAATTTCCCTGCTCACATATCCATCGGTATCAAATCGATAGATGTTGCTAAGTCCATGGACCGTTCTAGTTTACGTGAGCTCTTCAAGTCGGAGAAGGCTAGTGATTGTCTTCAGAAGATGATGGCTGACGATCCTCTTTTGATCGGGAATGTCCTACGTGAGCTCATTCCAGTGGGAGACGTTTCTCCGGAGGAATTAGCAAAATTAGACGGATGCAGACTGTTACCTCTCGCGGACGGAACACTGGGACAATTAACGCGGATTCGATCACCCATGCCTCTGAACATTCGATATTACTACACCATCACGAAGTTAGAGGTGAAAATTTTTGACTTCGCCAGAAGTATTGTAATATTTCCAGAAAAAATTGACCCTTACGACCGCATAGGCGAAATTGTTAGAAGCAAGAAGTTTAATGTCACGAATCTGACAACTTCCCACGTTCCGGAGCTTCTATCCATGAAATCTAAAGGATCTAGAGTTGTAAATGAAGAGACAGATAATTGGCTGGAACTCTTCTGGGATTACTGGAATAAGTTTTCCTCATTTGGTGTGGAAGATTTGTCCCAAAAGTCTAAAACATTTTGTTCTCTGCCGTTATTCAAAGCAAAGTGCGACGGTGTCTGGGGATACTATACCATGTCGGAGCTGGCAAATCTGCCAACTATCATTGAAATATCGAAGATGGAACACGAGCAGTTGTGTAGTTGTATTCCTGGTCTCTACATGATCAGACCAGACCTTATGCCCAAATCAATTGCTCATGCCGAGAAGTCACTGGACGATCACAAAGCTTTAGGAAGATTCATTAATGCTTTGAGTATACTGGCTCCAGATGAAACCGCAATTGTGCGTTTGTTCGCTTAATTGGCAACTGGACAAGCTCTCAAGAAATCAAATTTCTTCAAGGTAAATTCGCATAATCAAGACTTGTGTCCAAAATCCCCTTGCTAATTGAAGATATAGCTGCTTCGAGAACTCATTATACCCTATGTAACGACAGGTCATAAGACTACCATTGAGTACTTGAAGCTCTTGCCAATCTGGCCTGCGTACTTGCCGTCGAGCTCGGAGCATAAGTTTATCGCAGCCTCATCCGCCAAGTATACAAAGCAACCTCAGCTTTTGGCACCTTGGAACAAGAAACTTACGAATTTTATCAATTTCGAGGCCATAGACTATCCCAGAGCCGAAAAATGTCTAGAAATGCTGTCGGTTACTTCGGTTACTGCTGAAAGCTTGATTCAAAAGTTCGAGTCGAAGGACTTTCCATCAACTTTACAGACAATGAATGAGACGGTCTATACTCAATTCATCAGCACTTTAATTGGAATCGTGTCTAAGGCGAAGCAGGATTCCTCTCTTGTTGAGACATTGTCATCCTTAACACTTGCGGCAGATAGAAATGGTAAAATGCACTCAGCCCATGAGTTGTTTGATCACGACGATGAGATTTTCAAGGCGGCATTTCAAGATAAAAATAGCTATTTTCTTCATGACTTTGTAAAAGTAAAAGAATTCGACACTCTGTGGTACAAAATTGGCCTGCGTCGACGAGAAATCAATGGCTGCTTCAAGATTCAAGACTACATGGAGTGCTTACGAGCTCTAGAAGTTTTAATCAAATCTACTGACTACGGAGTACTCATAGATCCAACGTCAGTCATACATGAAAGAATGACGAAAATCTTGTCGTCTCTAATTGCTCCAAGTTCCGCCACGCATTTATTCAATCACCACGATTGGAACGCACTTGCACGCAGAACGATTTTTGTGGTCCGAAAAGATAATTCTCGCGAACCATCTTATCGACGAGAGAACATGGACAGAGTTTCAGAGTGCAGTACAGCGATCCCATTATCCGAAGTTGTTCTGTACAAACATGTGGCAGTCTGTTGGAGCAACACACAATTCGTGGTCCTGGAACCAACTGCAGAGATTTTGAGCAAGGTGCCAAAACATGGAGAACCATTTATGATTGAGGTCTGGAAGCATCTTGAGCACATGGTGGAGATATCAAAGAAGATTTCACGCGCAGACATCCCAAATTTTCTATCCGACCTTTTTGAAATATATGACTATCTTCAAAACAACCTTGTGCGCAGCAAAGAATACTTCAGGGTATATGCTCGCAGCTTAAACCGATCTGATCTCTGGCTCAACTTGGACATTTCAGATCCTATGTATGTCACCATTGAAGACTTACAGTCTTCATGGAAGCCTCTTCAGCACCTCTTGCTCATTAGCTCCACTGATGCACCACCGTTAGAGTGTATTCGACTAAGTTTGAGTCCATATGAAAAATTGCTGAAGGAACTTGGCTGCAAGTCCATTCATCACCCCACCGTCGAGTTGCCCGCATCTCAGTCTGCGCAATCACTGATTAGCAGTCTTCGCGGCCACCGCAAAGAAAAGCAGATGATAGATATCGTTTTTGTCGCCGAGAATATCCGCTTTCACGCACATAGAGTTGTTCTAGCATGCGCATCTGGCTACTGTACTGCCAGTTTCTCCGGTCGCTGGCGTAAAGATGAGGAGATACTTTTGGACTTGATGACGGCTCACACTCTTGGCATTCTCATTGACACAGCTTATGAAGAACCAATTAATTGGGCGGAGATGACTGTTGACCCAGTGTCTCCTCAAGACGCCGACGCTAATGACCATAAACTAGATCTACTACTGGATTTACATAAAGGTGCAGATTATTGGCAGATGCTCGCACTGGCGAACCAAGTCGAGAGAAAGATATTGGAGCAGTTCAGAATGTTTATCAGATTGGATAATGTGAGAGAATATCAGGATATGGCTGCAGATTCTAATGCTTCGGTCTTCGAAAGAGCATGCAGGAAATTTTGTGAGGAGAATGGAGCGGCTTTAAAGGGATGGGAGGAGGCTGCTGCGCTACAAGCTGGGTCTACGGAGGCGAGGGAAACTTCCCTAAAGGATATATAATATCTCGGTTGTATCAAAAAGTGATAAGCGTATGGTGGTCAATAACGAAAATTGAGCGAAAGGAAAGAACGGTTTGTTTTGTTTGCAGAATTAGGCTATCGGGGTACGTGAGATACGATGACGAAAACACAGAATGGACACACAAACACAGAATTCGGATTTAGCTAAATGTAAATATCTCAAAGCTCAAATTTGATACATTTCAATGAAGCGACAGGGCCTTGAGACGAATTCAAATAGACGTTGTGATGGCTTGTAATTTCTATTGTGAATTTCGCCCGAGACACGATTTCTGGTGAGCCCTGCCCCCCTTTTTTCCCTATCCCCCAGTGAGCTTCCCAAACACTGCCAACATATCTCTTATGTGAATCTCTAACATTGAAAATCACCCTCTAATAAACAATAGTTCATATCACATCAAGTTGCCCCAAATCATGTTATATAAATTAATTTTCAATTTCTTATTACTCGCTGATGCTACTCTTGTTCCTGCGCTGTTCGTCTATCTTGTACATCCTGTATACTTCATTCGCCGACTACCAATAAGCCCCTTTCAATATCTGTCATGATCCTTTCTGCAAATATTGTTCGATATTTTTCGATTCCTTCACTTGTTCTTTACACGCCGAGAACTTATCTGTGGCTCTCACTCCCTGGATGTAGGAATACCGCTACTCAAGCCTTGGTTCCATGCATAAAGTGCCTGACCTCGATTGCAATGCTGTCCCTGGGTTCGCTCCATGTTCATCGAAATCGCTCGGGTCCAAGGGCTATATTATATTCGCTTATTTCTTACTCCTGAAAAATCCCATCTTCTTCTTCTTTTCCTTTCCATCCTCACCTTTCTTCTTCTCCGATTTGCCAGTGGAATGACCTGCTCCATCTCCTGCCCCATTTAGAGACATCTGTTGCATTCCTGCAGCCAAAGGTTTATTGTCATATCCTGGACTCTTCATTGGCGGAGCCGGAGCCCCTGGGCTTCTCGCAGGTCTTACACCCCCAGGAGCATTCCCTGGTCCGCCTGGTAATCCGAGTCCTACTTGAGGTCTGGGTGTTGCAACAACGGGCGGAGGAGGAGGCGGATCATTAGCTTTGAAAAGATAGGCTGGAGCTTTTGGTTTTGGTCTGTCAATTGGTAAATCTAATTGCTTCCTTCCGGCCGTCAAATCTCCCACTTGCTTCAGGAACAAGTTAGGATTGAGCATGTGTGAGGTAGCTAAAAATACATCTCTGTTGCAATCCTTCGAAACTCCATAGCAAGCTCTTGCTTCCGAGTAAGTAGCTCCACCTGCCATGAAAACAATAATTCTTTGCATGTTATCTGGTGTAGTACTACGTCCACGAGCCCATGTAGGCTTGGCGCTACGAAGTGAAGCTTGTGATTGAAGAGCCATTTCCTCAGATGGGTCAGTGGGAGGTCTTGTATAAGGGAAGATATTTGGGTCTAAAGTCCCTTTGGTGATTTCCTCGAGACAGCGTTGGAGATTGGTTTCATATCGAGACAGGGCAAGTTCTTCGTTGATTACAGTAGGTGTGGGTTTTGGTGGGAATAATGGAGTTGGAACAGCTTTGGTTTTGGAGTCTGTAAGTCTCTTAGTGGTACGTACCCCTAGTAATTCTAGGTTTAGAATTTCATTCATTTCTGAGAGGGGAAGTCCAGAATGATGTAAAAGACGTTCTATATCTTCCGTAATCAATCCGTCTCGGAATATGACATAAAGTATAATGAGTCGTAATCGTTCCTTGGGGGCAACAGCTGGATTATCTAATAGACGAACAACTTGTGCACCCATCTCCTTGGGTTTTCGGTAATCTTCGTCCAGTCCTGTGGCTAGAGTTTGTTCCGCCAACGCAATTTCGGGGAGCTCGTGATGTTGAAAGATGTTCATACATTCTTGTGCCATATTCAAGTGTAAAGAGTATGCTTCTTTCATCTCCTGAAATTGTGGCAACCCTGCTAACATATCTTTGATTTGACTGATATTGACATTTTCCGCATCTTGATTGGCGAAATGTGGATTATCTGCGATGAACTTCTTGAAATCGCTCATTAACTTTTGGATAGTTTTACTCATATGTTGGTGCCTATTTTCTACCCAAATCTTATCTTTCTCAGTAATTTCCATTTCTTTTTCTTCTTCTTGTGCAGTTCCTTCATTCAACACAGTTGTGTAAGTGACTTTCTCGTGGTCTTTGATCGGAAGAAGATCGTGTGCCATGGCTTGGTACGTGAATTCGTGCAGTATTGGTGCTAATGTGTCCATTGATCTGTCGGTTATGAGTAAAACACCTTGTGGTCGATTAGATTGCGGTGGGAAACTGGGGTTATATTGTTGGTACGCATCAAGCTCCTCCTGTACAAACCTGGCTAGATGAGAACAGAGAACCGCTGCTTCATGTGTAGGATTCTTAGGTCTGTAATAACGTATTTTCGGGGATTCTCCTAGGGATACGCAGATTCCAGTAATCTATGTATCAAATCAGTCTCGATTCTGTAGCTCATATCGACCAATGAATCCTACCTTTTGCGCTAGAAGTTGCATATGATCGCGCACTAAAGGAGCGCATGCTGGATGGAATAAGATCGGAAAACTCCAAGGATCTCTGAATGTTATTAGATGCGACTCGCGGGGATAGTAGTCTATGGATAGAGTCTCCCATCCGCCTAATTGTTCTTGTGCTTGTCTGGAGGAATCGATACGCCGGCGCATGGTTGGATCGAGAAGGGCAACCCATACTAGGAATGACTTGCGATATCTTCGACGTTCGAAATCTGCCAACAAACAATCGACAACATGTGGTTCGGGTGATAGGAGGTATATGGCATCCATGCCTGGATTCATTTCCCTCCTGCTTTCGAGTGTTTCCACATCTGCGATCAATTTAGTAGCGCCCTCTCAGCACGCATACACGTACATACTGGCGATATTCTCGTTGAGAATGTCATCTTCTTTTAGGACACTAAACACTATCTTTTTCGTCGCCTCATCGATAACGAGCACCTTCCACTACAGTTGTTTCAGCATATATTCGAACGCGGAGTAGGGAAACATACGTCGCCTCGAGTGATTGACTTTATGGCATCCAAAATAGCTATAGATCATATCAGTTTAGGTACATTTCCCAACATTCGTGAATTCTAGCTTACCCTGGCGCTGTTCGTCAATGGCCGACACCCCCATGATGGGCGGTGTATGACTTGTTGGTGTAGACTTTTTAGAGGTATCTTCGAGGAGTTGAGATGGTGAAATTAAGGAATATCAATCTTCAATATAGAATGAGTGGCACAGAATGATTTATGGTGTTTTCTTGTGGTTGTTTGATTGAAAGGGAGTTTGATTCTTGGCGGGGTCATGTTCACATTGGAAACAGAAACATGATGGCTGTTTCGTGAGGCGGCCGCTTGTGCGCTAATACAGAGTGAAGACAAGGACGGCACAGAAAGACCAAAGCTCAATCAAATCAAAGCTACGACGGCATGTTGTTTTATATAGATTTGTCTCAATATGATTATCATAATTAAACTGATATGAATCTTTCGCTCTCCTTTATTTATATATATTACTGTGTCTATGAATGAGTTCCATGAATCAGGTGCTCATAATAATATAATGGCTGTCTACAAACGATTCCTATTGAGCAAGTGCTCATAGAATGACCATCAAACTGCATGCGATCTCTTCACTAGGGCAAAAGGTGATCGATAGTGGTCTTTCACCTACCCTTCTAGATTCCAACCCTTCTAAGGATTAAAATATATTCTAAGAACATCCAGCCTGTTTTTTGGTTGATGGTGGAGCGGATCTTTGGTATCAATGCCAGTATCCACAACTTGTCTCAGGAACACGCGAGAAGCGATCAAAGAGAACAATGCAATTTGAGTACTGCGAGTGTGGATGTAAAGTGCGAGATCATTGAGTCTACTTGCCTCTACTCTCCGAGCTGTCCAGAATGCTAGACTTTTCAGAGAACGGTGGAAGCACCTAGCTGGTTGTACCGAAATATGATTACCTTTATCAAAAGGATAGTTGTATCCCATCGATTGGCAATACTATGATATGGAAGTCACTATGCTTAATATGCAGCCTCAATGGAGACTAAAGTGGCTGGTAGTATTGGGATTAAGACATCATCTCACAGACATCATCTCAACGTCGAATCTATCCTTATACTTTGAAGCTCGAGGTCAGGGCTGTAACGAGAAAAGCCATTGCGTTGTCTCTAGGTGTAGACATCGAATGGCACCTAGCGATTCTCATGTAGACCAAGAGGGAGCACTTGATTGCTGACCCTAAGTTCGGCAATCGATTTCAATCAGGGGAAGTGGAGATTACCAAAAATAAAATCTTGTTCCTTCTTTTTTGAATTAATCTACCGTGGTAAGTCTTGAAACATTATCTCATTGCATTTGAATCATCTAAGTCGCCAAAACTGTCGGATGATATGAAAATGCTTACATCTCCTCGGCTACCAAATCCCTCGAGTTGTACTGCATTCTGAGATCTCGAGGACGCCGAGAAGAGCTGGATTCGCTGACAATGGATAGTAAGACGGAAGTCCATCCTGCTCCTATGTCTAAGGTCTACGCCGTCTACTATTCCTGTTTTTCAAATATTCAATAGCATGGGTTCAATCAGATTTCTTACATCAAGCGAACCCAGACGAGAAATAGCAAGTAAGGAAGACGATGATTTAGGGAGATAGTGGGGGTGGGGGCGTGGGTGCTGATTGAGCGCCAAATAGTAAATATACAGGGCTGCTCCAAACGACATCGAACTAACTCTATACTGTAATATGACGTGCTACACACGGAATTCCCAAGTTTTGGAAAATTTCACTCGACAGTATACTGCTACTCGTGCGCAAATTCAAAGAAATTCAACGTTGCGAGGCTATAATCAAGTTCTGTATGACATTATTCCTCACCCATACACTCTGCCCACCCACTTACCCCCTTCACACAAGCAAAATTCATCTTTCATACCTGCCGAAAGACTCATACCAAGATACCACAACCCGATTTCGTTATGACTTAGTCTCCTAGTTCCACAACGTTCCTCTTTATCAAACCCCTAGCATCAAACCTCCATCTCACTTCATCCCCAAATGCAAAATCTCGATAAACCCCAATAATTCTTCAACTTTTTCCCCAATTTCTCCCCGCTAGCCCCAACTCCCTTAGTTCGCCACTAGCAAACGCCAGACCAAACTCAAAACCTATAAAAGCTCACTAGATCATCTTCAATCGCGATAAATCAGCACGTATGTTACAGTACTGAATATTTCGTAGTCTTTGTTATACATCTTGGAACTCTAGAATCTATCTCTCCTCATGAACTTATTCTTGAATTTCTGTATTGCTGTATTGCTAGATATGCACATCAGACCCTACGTAATAAATTGTTGAAAGATCTTTAGAATTGCATGGGCAGCTACTTTCCCACTCAGCGACAAATTCGCTCTTGTCACTTTATCTTGCCCGTGGGAGTTCTGTAAAGTTTTGTTGCATATCGCGTTTTCCCATGGAAATTCCTCAGTTTCCAATGGTAATTAGGTGATTACCATGGTACGACAGATATGCAACAAAACTTACTTTTTCCTTATAGAAGGCTCCTTCCTAGTCAAACAATGTACCGGTCCATATCGACATACCTCTTCTATCACATATTAAAAAGATCACAAAGCAATTGAAATGATACCAAAAAGTGGTGGTTAAACGTGTCTGAAGTTATCATTCACGCGAGAGTAGAACCTCTCCACAAATATAGCTAGCTAAATAAGGGGGATCTTGGTATCAAGTCAAAAACTTGCATCACACACGCTCAACGCGGACGCTACGTAGGTAAATCGCAACCTTCCTCACTGCTGATCTCAACGCACAAACGCATTCGTCTGACAAACATCTGAGATCCATTCCCTGATCATCCAGATGGGTGTCACTAAAGGTCAAAAGGTACTCTACATACACACTTTTACGGCCATCATTGACAATCATTCCTTGTAACTCTTCATACCCATTCATCCCTGATGATTTAAGCGATTTTATTTTCACTCACACATGTGCAAACTATTGTCGTCTGAATGCACCTTGTGGTGGAGGTGGCCCACGACCATCGAAGGGAAATGTCGGCATGCCCTCCGCTGAGAAAGGGCTCATAGCTGGCGGAAGAAAACCCGGTGGTGGGCCGTTGAAGTAGGCCGGATTGAATGGCATATTTCGAGGACCCGCTAGTGCCTCGGGAGGGGGAAAGTTGCTCATATTGCCAGGCATTTGAAAGCCCGGTGGGAGAATTTGCTGAGGCATTTGCATCGGGCGTGGGAGGTTTCCACCTAGACCAGGAGGGGCCGTTGGTCGAAATTGTTGCGGAGGAGGGTGTTGAGCGGAAGGTTGTCCTGGCCAGCCTTGCTGCTGCAATGGGTCGAGACCTGGAGGTGCTCGTGTAAGAATGTGTGTGGGTTGAGGCCGTGGATTATCATGTTGTGGAGGAGGTCCACCCCGATAAATAGGCTCATCAAAAAATCCAGGTGGTCGACGCTGTGGATTCCCACGTTCGCGCTGAGCTTGTAAGTCCTGTTCTCTCTCCAATTGTTGTTGATGTTGGAGTTGACGGCTAGGTTGCTGTCTGGGTGGATGGCCAAGGATGATCTGCTCTGTTCTTTGAGGCTCTGGAGCTGCTTGTGCTTCTCTCATGAGGCTCATAAGAAATGCAGTCTGTTCAGAGCGAGGCTGTTCACCTCTGAAGGAAGACTGACTGATAGCATGCTGACGCTGATTGACCAAATGATTCAACATCTCTTCTGGACGTACAGTTGGTTGACTACCTGCTTGTTCACGTTGAGCGCTAAGATCATGTAGATTGTGGGGATATAAGTGAGCAGCCGGTCTCATCTCATCATGACGATCTGGAAGACGCTGGTGCGAAGATTCGCGGCCCTCAAAAGGTGTATTTGGTTGGGTTTCTTGTGCAGGAGGTTTCGATTGCATCATAGGATTTGCAGGAGGAGTTCCACTAGATTGTAGCATCGCAAGTATCATTGGCATAGCTTCTTTATCCGCAGGGGATTGAACATTGTTGGTCAATCCGTCAAGTCTATGGGCCGCTGGCTTTGGTATAGCTGTTTGTGGTTCCGCTTTATGCGAAGTCTCATCTTGAGTGAAGAATTTGTTAAACCTTGAGGTTTTTCCACCCGGTGCAGCGGACACTGCAGATTTTGTCATGTTTTCTGTATTCAGATCAAACTGTGATGCGAGTCCATTATCATTCTTTGGCTGAGCCCACAAACGGAAAAATTCATCTCCATTAAATCCAGTATCAAGTGGCGCAAGAGAAATAGGCTTTTGTATGCCAGAGATAGAAGGATGTTCGTCAACCTTTGACTGCGTGGCTTCTTCTGCCACTGTATTACCTTTGGCAGTTGGTTTATCCTTGGAATGCATTGCATCTTTCCACTTCTGCATATCCTCTGCTGTAAATTTGCGCTCAGTTTTGCCAGTAGATGTTTGCGATTTTTGAAAGTCATCTTGTGGAGCGACTTGAATACTTTCGTCTTCTGCCCACGCTGGAACATCACCATTATGGTCGTCATGAGCTCTGTTCCTGTCTGCCCAGCGTCGGTCACCTCTGTCCTTGTCCCCACGATTATCGAAGTCTTTTTCTCGCCAACTTTTATTACGATTCTCAAACCTATCTGCATTCGTATTTCGCTCTCGGGGTGTTGGCGGCCCATCGTTGTTCTCTCGGAACCAAGTAGGCTCTGTTCTTCCCCGACCATTTCCAGTTCTGCGATTGTTGTCTTGTTCATGATTCTTTTCCTTGTCTCGGGAGAAATTTTCAAACCCTCTAGGTCTTTCTTTTGGATCGCGCTCTTCTCGATCCTTGAATCGCTTCTCATCTCGGTGTCTCTCTCCACCCATGCGCCCAGTAAACCGCTCAGCTCCTTCAGTACCAAAACTCTTTCGAGGTTTCACTTCCATCCAACCCTCCTGGTCGACACCATCACCAGGCTTCGGTCGCAGCATATCACGCCGGGGACGATCGTCACTGTCATCGATTTTTGTACGATAGCTTAATTTGCTTTGCGACTCGCTTTCGCGAAGGGCGGGTCGATCTGGAGAATCGATCCCTTTGCCTGCATTGCGTGCAGGATTGGCGGATGAGAAGGTAGTTCTTGTAGGCACAAGTTGAATTGTCTCGGGATCTATCTGCATGTCAGTACGAGCGAACAGGCAATGACTGGAGGACGTGAGATCGTTGGCAGACATACTTGCATTGTTTCGTGGTCGTCGGTTTGTGTGTTCTAGGAGCGGATTTGCATCACGATCTCTAGTTCTATCAGGTATCCTGGCAGAGGAATTTCGATTCGGATCAGGTGTTTGTCTGGAAATAGTTAATACGAGGTAGTATGGCTAAAGCTTCTTGCAACAAACCCCATCCATTCTGAAGAAGACAAAAGACCAGGAGGTTTTACAACCAATGGTGAGTCTCGCAGAAACAACAATTCGTCTCTGGTGTACCGACGAGCTTCACCCGTGTCGGGAGCCATTATAATATGTTGCTGTAATCGGATCGTGGTGTGGAGTATTATGAAGCTTAGATTATATGCAGATGGAGAATTGTATTGTTTTTGAATTAACAATATTTAGTCCAAAGGACCTTGTAAATTTTGTTGGCTGTAGCTGTAGGTGTGCGTTTGTTTTATGTTGTAGATGAAAGACTGTAGATTATAAGTATGAGCAAGGACGTTCTTGGAGCCGAGCTCAGCGCAGCTACCTAAGTAGGCGCAAAGCTCTACGGTTTAGACTGTAGTAATTTTGTAGGATGTGAAATGGACTTTGAATTCGTTGTGATTGTTTGTTTGGTACGGCGAGGAGGGGTTTTGAGGTGAGGGTTCTCGAATGAAGGTTTTAGATCTCTTGATCAGTGCGCAATATATTTGACTGATTTCTTGTACTAATCTCTGGTCTTTTTTGGGAGGCAATATAGCTTTATTTTATTTTGCTTCGACTGGTTTAAAGTTGAGGTTTAAGGTCGTTCGTTTGCCCGTTGCTGTCGTTAGAAGTGTTGATGCCACAAAGGCAGGTTCCGTTTGTCTTAACCTTAGCGATCTTCAGCCTCGGTGGGGCTCAGCTTTGAACGTCAAATTTCGTCCGTTTGAGCGTTTAAGGGGTGCAAGCATTATGGCTGTGAGGTACGACGTACAAGTTTAGGTGTTGTTCTTTACTACCTATGTACTGTGGTTAATAGAACAGTGGTAATACATTTATTCAGCACTCTAGAAATGAACAGTGTCTTGGAAAGAGGTTAGATTCAATATTTAGGGTATCTTCAATCACAATTATTCATACTATGTACCTAATAGCTATTAGCTGTCCTATCTGTACTGCCTTGTAACTATTCAGTCCTTGGCGCCTTCTGCCCCCTCTTCCACTCTTCAATTCTTTGCTGGTCACTTAAATCTATGATGCTTTGCATTAACACCCTCAAAGGCGTACCGCCACCTAAAGCAACTTGTACCTCCAGCCATGTAATGCTACTGAGTCTTGTAATCAACGTGGTGCTTCCTCCTTCAATTGTGGTTGCACGAAACATCAGCTTGAGTATTTTCTCTTCTGATTCTTGTGCAAGATACGGGTTGTTATATAATGTCAATAACTTCTCAAAGACTCGGCGTTTTCGAAATATGCCCATATCTGTTGGCGTTTGAAGGCCAGCAAGCATAACATCCAGAAGCCAGGAGACTTCTGAGTGATGGTGATTGTCAAGACTTGGCGACTCGTCTAAAACCTTATACATCAAAGGTACTTTGTCAACCTGCCATGTTGGACCTTGAGAAAGGAACTTGTTAATTTTAGGATAAAGGCAGTGGAGAGGGTCGCATAGTACAGCTACGGAATGCGACGCAAACGATGATATGATGGCAGGAAGTGGTTCTACATTGATCACCTTCTTCGATGTCTCCACCAACTCACAGAGAAGAAGCCAAATTTGTTCCTTTTCTTCGAATGAAGATTCTTTGAGTTTGGCTCCGATCTTCGATATATTGGTCAATGCCTCCTTGCGAACACTTAGTTGTTCCGAAGATAGTAGCATGATCAGTGCTGCAGCATGACCGCCTTCGATAACTTCCTCTATATCCTTTGCCGCCCACTTCACCAATGCATTATGGTCCTCCTCGGGCAATTCCTTGAGCATTGTAGCATTTACTTCGTCTATTTCTGCTGCTGAAATTCCATCCTTGGCAATTGCAAAATTGGGCTCTCCAGTGGCTAGTTGCGATGGTTGTGGAATTTCGATTTCATCGACAAGTTTTCGAGATTTCTCTAGAATCTTTCGAGCTGACGATTCCTCTGGTGTTTCATCGACCATGGCTTTGGTGATCAACTTAATGACCTTTTTATCCTCGCCAATCTTTATGGAAGCTGCCAGGAAACGAGCAATGAACTCAGCCACATCTTTGAGAATATCTGTGCCAGACTTGACAAGAAATGGCCATTGTTCAGCAACAGCAAGTATAAGCAAACTTACAGCAGACTGCTCTTTCTCGGTGTCGCGGGACTTTGAAGTTAGTTCTTCAAGCGAGAATATGTACTTAACTGGCTTCGAAGCACATCTCGAAACACAGTCATCCAGAAATTCTTGAATCCGTCTTTCGTTAGGTGTACCCTGAATTTCCTTAAGTCTCGCTATGAACGTGTCAAGAGCTGAGATTGTAGTCTCAGTCTGGAAAATTTGATTTTCTTGGACAACTGAGCTCAGAACAGATCTCAGCTTGAGTAAGGGCACACCGGCAGGTGCTTCGGCAGACAACTTTAGCATAGCCACAAAAGGAGAAGCTGAAAGCCCCTCTGCCTTGACGAACCATCGCATCCCCGGCGAAAAATGAGAGAACTGAAATAGATTCTCTAATTCCATGATTCGGAACGCGCGATCCTCTTTGGATACCCCGGTGCTATCGATAGCTTGTAGAGCGTTCGTAAGGGTTTCTGATACGTCAAACTTAGCGTCCAATCCAACCCGTGGAACCACTTCATAATACAAAACCAACAACTTAGTGACGGCCTCTCGTTGCATCAATTCTGTATCCGATAGCTTTCGAAAAGTGCTAATGACATCCTTAATCGAAGGAACACGTTGACAAAATTCATCTGTCAATCTCTCAGCAGCTTGAGTCCATATCGAAGAGGAGGCAACGGCCGCTTCTTGATACATTTTCAATATTTCCCGCATTTTGTTGAATGCGACGGAAAGAATGCGTATTGCAAAAAAGGAAATGAGATTATGCTGCTGATTTAGACAACGTGTGAAAACCTTTTGCGTTAATGGTTGAGGCAATATACTTTCCAGCACAATAGAACAGGGTGGAGGTAGTCTCGCATACCGCTCCTGGTGTCCAAGATATTGAGGGATGGGAAGTTGTAGGGTGGAGAATACGAAAGCTGAATATCCAACCCACGTTGCGGTAAGCTTAGGATCTAACGAAAACGATTTTTTGGTAAAGAAATAGCTTGCGACAAGCTCCGGGGCAGATTCGAGAATAGTCATTAATAGCTCGCTTTGTTTCAAGCTCGACCAAGGCCGAAGATTTTGAATGAACTCAGATAATACAGTATTGCGGACTGGAACCTTCTCTGTAAAGCGCTCCATCCATTCAATACTGTCTAGTCCGAGGTCAATATGACCGGCTTTTGTATCGACTTCAAGGCCTTCGTCGGCATCAATTCCTCTGGGATAGAATCCATTTTGACGATTAAGGACTCCTAGGTTTGGCGATGTGCACGCGAGCATAAGGAAATCATGAGCAATCTCATCAACTGCTTTCTTCCCTCTGCTAGTTTCTTCATCTTCCTGATCATATGCATATAACGCTGCTATCCGGCCGAGAGAGATGGCATTTACAACTTTCGATTTGGCATCTCTGGGTAGAGCATCGTCCTGCAGAACACCGGATTTCAAAGTCTCGAGGATATCGCGTATCACAAACGGAGGGTCGTCTCTGATATCTCTCGTTAAGCCCATAACAACATCCTTTTGATTCAGTAGTTCTCGTTTCGATTCTGTGGGAAGGAACTTTATGATAGAAAGGAGGAATCGAAGCCCATTGGTCCGCACAGAAGGCTTTTTGCGATCTTCCACTGCATCTCCAGTATATTTTAAGCTAAGATTTCGCGCCAATGTCTTGAAGGTGTAGTCTCTTGATCGGAAAACCTGCTTCGCTAAAGCTCCGCCATCGTAAATCGATAGTTCTCGAAGTAGTCGTAGAACCGGGGAGATTACGTGCTCTTTGCTCTTATTAGATGTAAGACCTCTTGCTATCAATTCTAGTTGACGCTTCTGAAGTATCGTTCTACCCAATCTCAACCCATGTTCAGCCATCTCTAGTATGTTGGACAAAGTCTTCAAAAGTAACGCCAGTACGGCTGGAACTGCAGAAAGAAGAGACTCATCGTTAGCTTGGGATGCAAAACTCCAAGTTTGCATAAGATCGGAGAGGAAAACGGCTGATTTATCCTCATCGTCGGCAGGCTTTTGCGATTCGAGGTATTCTTTGAGAATGACAATCCGGGCCGAGTTGTCAGTGTCTGCGATAGAAAAGCTGTCCAGAAACGCTTTCAAAGATTGTATACCTGTATTGAGTTAGTTAACATGAATGTGAGGTATCGAGGCATTTTGTACCATGTTTTGAACGACCAGAGTCTTGGTCGAATGCTAAAGTCTGCTTCAGTTGCCTCGCAGACTGTATGTCGACAGAGGTATAAGTTGTCTTGGTGACATTAGATATTCTTTGGCGCTTCTGATATGCTTGGCCTCCATCCCCAACGACTTCAGAAGATCGTTTGCTCATTTTCAAGGATTGTATGCTGGCTACTAAAGATTGGGAAATTCAATTGTCGATTGCATCCATCGTCCGTGGTCTGGACAATGTTTTTCGTTCCCAAAAATAATTTTCTTGACATCCTTATCGAAATTTTGATAGTCGGCATGCTTAATTACCGAGACTTTAAAGTTGTGGCGCGAACCTGGGACGAGCGTGGCTCGCGTGGCTTGCAATGGAATGGATGCTTCATGCCACAGATAAATCCACACCCTAACTTTATTTACTGACCTCGCTCTTCCAGGGAATACTTAGTACCTGATAGCTTCGACTTCATTGCTATCATATATTTGAGCTCTAACCACATAACCATGATCTACAAATAATATCAATCTCGCAATTGGCTTTGATCAAGCCAAAATTAGCTAATGTCTTCAAATGTCGACACTTCTTCCACTGACCCCGCGACGCGGTATCCAACGAGTCTCTCATCTCCGCCAGGTGAGTAATGGTAGCTCTGAAAATGGGACCGCATCCGCAAGCAGACCAGTCACTTCGTGCTCAAGTACAGGAACTGTTCAGCACGATCCGATACCTCTAAAGCTTCCGGTTGAGAGGCGATGTAACCTATGGACGCACGATGAAACGTTCTCGAAAGATGAAGTTGTTTTAAACCTAGACTTATTTCCAGATGTCAAGGCTGGGGAGCTTATGGCTATCGTAGCCCTCAAAACAGACTCGGGGTTTCGCGATTTTCAGGACAAGTCTGCTTTAAGTAGAACGGACATTGATAGTGGAACGGCTTCTGGGCAGTTTGGAAGCTACATTTGGACTCAATCTGGCCATGACCATCGTGGGAAAGGCTCTAAGCATGATACGGGCTTTGGTAAACGCTATCTGTTCCTCGCACAAGACATGCCAAATGATCTGAAGCTGAAGCAACCCGCATTGGAGATCTCTCTTGCTAAGCCCATTGCCGATGTATTCAATTTGAAGCATCGGTCAAATGTAATTCTTTGCACAGTATGTTCTACCAATAAATTCCTTATCAAATATGCTGCTAATCATAAGGTTCTACAGACAGATACAGCTACCAGCTCTGCATCACACGTTGAGATGTCGTTCAAAGATGAATACCTTGCTAGATCAGACATGTGGAGATTGACTGTAGGCGAAATGGTAAACAAGGCTGTTTACAAAGGGCAAAAGATTTTGTTCATGGGCACAATCAAGGCACAAGTTACTGCTGTTTACATTGGTGGCCGAAAGGTCCAGTCCGCGTTCTTTTCGACGACTACCAAACCAGTCTTTCGGAGCGAATCAGCGCGCTACGTGCTTTTCATTCAGATGTCGAGGGAAATGTGGGATTTTGACTCGGAAGGTTCAGGAGAAATAATGTTCAACAAGGTGGTAAATGGCTTTTTACCAGCATTATTTAAGAAGTGGGTGCAGCTTAAAGTGAAGCATTTAGTAAGCATAGTGTTATTTACAAGAGTCGAATACGATACTGGGTTGGCTTCAGAATTAGCAAGATCATCACACGACACCGCCTACCATACAGGTGTACAAACTGATGGCAGTAAAAAGCCATACAAAGATTTTTATCGAGTTGTTGTCAGTGAGATGGCCAGTGGAGAGTGGACAACGATTCTATATCAGTTGAAGCGCGAGTTTAAATTTTTCCGCAAAGATATCTCCATGCATCGAATCGAGTTAGTCACGGCTTTGGGGGCGCCGTCCTTGGCCACAAGTAAAGGCACTCTTGGGACCCGAATCGAGGCCGAGCCCTCACTTGCTATGCATGGGAACGTTCTTGAAGCAATCGATCTTGCTTCGACCCAGTTTGCGCATGATTACATCGATCGGGACCTTGTCAGGACCGGAATATCCATTGTTGTCGTAACTCCATGTGCTGGCCTTTTTGAAGTAGATTATGAAACTCTCCGAAAAACCACAGAGAGTCTCATCGGTAACGGCATTGGAATTGACCTCGTTTGTCTCCCAAAAATGCCCCTGCACTCTGTACCACTGTTTCGCTACCGAAACCCACGATATGCTCCATTTCAAGAGGCATTGCATTTTAAAGCTCTTCGTAGCGAGGATAGCACTCCGCGTCAAACAGCTCCCATATTTGGAAGTTATTCATCCTTGAACGGCTCTCTTTCTCCGCCCAAGATTCGTGATAGAAGTTTCCAAAATTCCTCTTCTAATAGTGGACAGGACCCTAGTGAGTGGAATTATGCAATACCGCACTGGATTGATGTATCATTTTGGACCGGAGCGTCCCAAGATCTGCTTTCTACATATCCTTTGGCTGACTCGAAGCTGTTCAAGAAACGAGTAGCCGAGTCCTCTAGCGATTTCGCGATACGATGTAAAATGTATGAAATGGAAATGGCTAGTGTCATGGAGAATGCGATGACCGAGATTGCTGTTCCACCACTACAACTGGACATTGTCTTCCCCCAAATGTTAATCCAGGAACCTCGTGAAACTGCGGGTGCGAAAAAGCATTCTTGTACCTGGGAACGCGCCAAGTTGCAGTCCAGCCTTTCAGAGTTTATTAATGGGCCATCAAAACCTTTACTTGATCGACATGCCACACAAGTTGAAAAGCAATTCGTGAAGGCACTTGATATATACGACGTCAACCACTCTGAAACCCAAGAAAAATTTATCGGCCCACGACAAAAAAGCTTGAAGTCACCCTTCAAACCAGGAAGTGAGGAAACGGCGAGAAAAGTTCTTGCAAATGATTCTAAAGTGTTTGGCACCTCTTTTACTGATGATAGTCCAACCTCAAGAAGCATGAATTTGCTCACTGGGATGAAAATCGACAGAGACAAGCAGAGCTCACATAGGAATGACCCGGTATTGCCGCGTAAAGGCAGTGTAAGCAGCACCTTGACTGCAGCCAAAGTTCCGGCTCCACGTCCTACAAAATTGAACCGCCAAATAAGTCTAGGCAAGTACGGTTTTGGCATCGCCGCGCCTAAGGGTGTCGCAGCTGAATTACACACCGAAAATGCTAGTGCAGCGAAACCAGTTTCTACCTCGTCGAAAGAATTTGATCCAAAGAAGAAGAACACTTTCGCCATGGCGAATCATTTACTGAGCGCTCCAGTGAGTCAAGATCGTCCATCGTCATCAAACAGCGATAAGTCAAGGATGAAGTCCGACAGCAGTTCCATCGAAAGCAAGCGAAAAAGCGAGCCGGACGCTGAGAGGAGTCCTTCGATACGCCCCATGACCATTAAGAGCGCACTTCAGTCTTTAGATTCGACAAACCAGTTCAAATCTAAATCTGTCTTGAGCTCCTTCTACGAAGGGATCAAGGGCACCGAAGATGAGAATATGAACGTGCAGCTGCTCAGAACTAATGATAATCAAAAAGTGTATAATTCAAAACTTCGCGCAGAAGCAGTTCCAGAGCTACCAGCGACTCTGTCCCCTACTACTGCTTTATCGCCGTGGCTAAGTGTGCTGAATCCATCCAATCCAACAGAGAATGACGCAATGGGGAAAACAGTATACAGAAGATGGCAACATGTCTTCCCTAAGCCAGTTCTCACTAGAACAATGAAATGGAAATCTCTCTGTTCTCCAGCATCCGTGCCATTGACTACCGAATCGTTTCCTACAAAGTTTCAACTCGAAACGGAATATCAGCAAAAGCCATACAATATTTCACAAAATTCAGAGGATGAAATTAGCGAAGATTCAAGTAATAGAGAAGACTTTCTAAGGGAGTTGATTAGCTTACGACTTTCTCAAGGGTTTCAGATTGTCATCGGCCCTGGGGTAGCCGAGGCATTCGGACAAAAGTCTTTGAAGATCGCGAACGTTTTTGACCGTGATCGTATTGCTGAGGATGGAGCCAGTGTATTCATGTCCATGGGAAATATAATTCATCAGCTATCTTGCGTGAATGGTACTGAAATCGAAGTCAATATGTTCGTCCGAAAACCGACAGCTCTGACTACCCCTAGCCAAGGAACTTTAAGCCCGTCTGGGTACTACCCGGCCATTCGAACTACTTTGAGCGACACCTATGAATCGCGCAAAATGACGTTGGGCCGATCAAGAGATGAATACAACTGGAATTACGTCGACTCCTTTATTGCAGGCTTTGAAGACGACATGAACGAACACCTTCGCTTCTGGCGTGCAAGGTTTGTGTTGATTCCTGTGGTACGCCCAACTCAGTCTCGACGAGACCGCATGAGAGGTGAGGATAACGAGGAAGAAGTCCGACTCGAAGGTATCAGAAAGCTCACTCAAATGTGGCAAAGCCACAGGTACGTTCCCCCATCAGAGCGGCGTTTCCATACTCTTGCCTCCAGGAAAACAAAAGATTCAAATCCACTTGACATTGTGTATAAGACGGAGGACCCATCCGTTGTTGTTAGCGCAGAACTCGAGAGTTTACCTCTCGTGGAGACAAGTGAAAGTACAACTAGACGTGGACACTTACTTGACAATGATCGTTTTCGAAAATCTAAACTTGATATTGCCGCCTTGGCGGAAGCTATCCAAGCGCCCGTGGAGAAGGGCGGTGTCCGTATGCAGAATCGAAGATGGCATTTCCGATTGCATTACAACTGTTTCATCGGCTCTGATATGACGACATGGCTACTTGAAAACTTTGAGGACATTGAAGATCGTGATCAGGCAGTTGAATTGGGCAATTTTCTTATGGTTGACGAGACACAGAGGTTGAGAGAGAAGGAAGTTGGTAAAGATGCAGGCATATTTGTCCATGTCGAAAAACGTCATCCTTTCCGGGATGGGCAGTATTTCTACCAAGTCACTGGAGAATTTGCCAAACAGCGACCGGATAGTCGCAGTGGTTGGTTCGGTTCTCGGCGCCGTGAAAATTCTGTGCCTTCGACTCCAATGTCAGATGTCATGCCCAAAGACTCTCCTCGACCAGATAGGGCAAGATCCAGCTCTACGCAAGATGATAGTTCACATGAGTCGGGTGTGTCAACTCCAACCACATGTGGGGCCAAAAGGCCCAAGGTGTCTCT